ATCCTTTCTCCCAATTCAATTCAAGATGTAGATCTTCCACCACCCAGAACTGCCGTCTCAGTTAACTGAGAGGCTCTCTGAAAGGCAAAAAATTTGGGAAAACACTTCCTGCCCTCCCTCCCAGGCTCTGGGCAACTTGCTGTAACTTCCACCACCACCTCCCATCAGAGAGAGCCTAGGAGTTTGTTTCTCCTCCAGATAAGCACCAATGAACAAACCCTGCGCCGCTGAAGCCTCGCTTGTTCCTTCATCTTCAAAATGCCCATCACCCCTGCTCTAATCAGAGCTCCAGTCAATGCTGGACCCTCTTCCCATCATGATGGTTGTTCTGAATAAATTCTACCTTTACCACTTTAACTAGTGCCCAGCTTCTCTTTGACGAAGGTCAGAGCTGCATTTTCTCTCTGCCCTAGGGAGGGTTAGTTCAGACAGATCACAGTGCTAACCAGGCTAAGGTTATGAACTCCATCTCCATATGGCTCTGTCCATAGGTCACATGTGTACACCTGTCAGGTGTTTCACCTGTGCCTTTCATTGATCACGAGGGATGCCAGGTGAGAATGTGGAGATGGCTCAGCACAAACCATTTTATGCTGCTCTTTTTTGTTTGTTTTTATTTCTCGTTACTTCTTTAGGAGCTCAAATACACAGATGGTGTGGCTTATGGCTTCACTTTGTATACCTCAGCTAGGAGAGAAACTTCATGGCATCCCTCCACCAAACACCCTTCTCCCTTTGTCTCCTGTCCTTTTAGCCTCTAGTTCACGGTCTTCCTTTTTCTCCCAGTTCTTTCTCAAAGACTCCACCTCCCACTTTCTTTAGTGCCCATAAGCATTTACCTTCTGTACGCTGTTTCATTTTGTTACAACCAATGGCTCATGATGGTTCATATATTTATGCTTTACCACTCCTAAATGTTCCACCTCTTTTGTTTCATTAGGCTAAACTATTCAGTGGAATGCATTTGAATATTCCCATTGAGCTTTCCAACAGCTTTCATGAATTTCAGCAAAATGTTGAATTCTTGCATCATTTCTAGGCTGGGCAGTAGACTGTGTTATAACTCTCAAAAAGCTTACAAATTTATATGGAATCAAACCAGTGTTACTGAACTTTGTACAGAGTAATCTGTTTCCTGTGGATTCCCTTCCCCCCCCCCAATTTTATGTGATAATACAGTAATATGTTTTACCACAAAGGAAAATCATTTAACATATATTGTAGCATAACAGCTTGTTCTTTACAATCAATCACATTGCCGTTAGCCTACATTTTCATAGCTTCATGACATGAAAATACATACTTTGTGCCCATTTAAAATATATTATTTTTTCAGGAATATAAAATAATCCTTTCAATGAGCATAATACATTTAATTTAGATTACTCATATGCTAAGATCCAGAAAGGATCCTCCAGAATGTTAATTTTCCCATTGTGTCCCATGCTATTGTCAGATGTAAGTTTCCTATTGTTGCTGTAACAAATTGCCACAAACCTTGTGTCTTAAAACAATACACATTTATTAACTTCATAGTTCTGGAGGTCAGAAGTCTCTCAAGGGTCTCAAGGAACTAACAACAGGTGTCAGAACTGGACTCCTTTATGGAGGCTCAGAAGAGAATCTGTTCTCTTGCCCTTTCCAATTTCTAGAGGAGGCCTGCATTCCTCGGATTGAGGCTCCCTTCCATCTTCGAAGCCAGCATGGCTGGTTGAGTCTCAATGTGAAGGATGGATAACTCAATGGATGGAGGTGGAACAAATGGATACCTCATATTTAGAAATATATTTAGCTGTCTACTTATCTCCTTAAACCAAATTAAATGTTAGATAAATGAAAAGATATGACTGTGGAACTTTTGGTGGTGTCAGCTGACAAGTGTATCTTCAGTTCCTTCATATCGGTCCCATTGCTGCTGTGGTTTGGAAATTGGCCATGAAACAGTCCTTTTTTGTTTAAGCCAGTTGTCCTTGGGCTTGTATCACTTAAAACTGAAAAGCCACCCTGACTGGTTTGGCTCAGTGGATAGAGCATTGGCCTGTGAAGTAAAGGGTCCCAGGTTCGATTCTGGTCAAGGGCATGTACCTTGGTTGTAGGCACATTCCCTGTAGGGGGTGTGCAGCTAATCAATGTTTCTCTCTCATTGATCCCTCTCCCTTCCTCTCTGTAAAAAATCAATAAAAATAAACTGAAAAGCCATGGTTAATATATAGTAAATTCTCAAATGTATTTAAATATATTTTTTATTCTCCACTCTGTTCCCACTGTTTTAATTTCTTTACATTTTAAATTCTTTTAGGGCTAATTCCCCATCAGTATACATGACAGCCTTTCAGTTAAATTGACCTAGAGAAACATTGATCAGGGACCATGGAGATTGTCCTGGATTACAGAAATAGGAATTCTAGTTTCTATAAAGGTATCTCCTCACCAACCTTGCCATCTCTAATCTTAAATTAACAAATTGAATTGTGATTATTATTAAGTCTCTTATAATTGGTTAGCAAGAATCAGGGCTCATTTACAGCCTTACTTAGTTAGGCAACCTGGTAGTTCGGAGTTTCTAGATTTAAAACAGAAGTATGGACGATGCTAAGGTCTTTTTAGCTAGAACAAATGGATTATGTTCAGTGAAGCTCATAAGACATCAGGATGCCATACTTTGATTCATATGAAGGAGTGAGGTGTGAATGAGAAGTAACATTGGGGGTAAAATCAAGGGCAGGCGAAAAGATCACTTAGAAGGGATAAAGTAGGCAAATTCTGCCAAGACAGCATTGTATAATGGTTAAATGCAGAGACTTTAGGTTGGGACTGCCTGGGTCTGAATCCTTGTCCTACAACTAATCCCTGGGGCAGTTACTTTACTCCATGTCTCAGTTTACTTTAAATGGGGATAATAATAGTAATTGTCTTATACTGTAGGATTGAATTAGTTACATAAAGCACTATAACAGTGCCTGGCACACAGATATTACTAGGTAAATAACTGCTACATTATAATGGTCTAAAACATTAAGCACAAAGAACTTAGGGTGTGAATCTATTTGCAAAGTTTCCAATGGATCTCTCAGACAGGTTAAGACTTTAACTAAGCCAGTTCAGTATTAATAAATATTGCTAGTTATTACCATTTTCCTCCCATAGATAACCAGCCATTGACATTTGAGCTATAAATCTGAAAAGGAAAAAGGGAGAGGCAATATTGAAGTTGTACTTGAAGAGAATCTTTAAATTGTTCACTTGGGTGGTATTAATTTTTCACTTAAGTTCCTACTTTTGCCAGTGAATTTCTGTATGTGCTGTGTGCCATCCTATCTAATAAAAGAGTAATATGCAAATTGACTGTCACTTCAACACAAAATGGCCACCATGTGATCAAATATGGCCACCCCATGTGGACACAATATGGCCACCACAAGATGGCCGGCAGGGGAGGGCAGTTGGGGGCAATCAGACCTGCAGAGGGCAGTTGGGGGGAAACCCAGGCCTGCAGAGGAAAACAGTTGGGGCAATCAGGCCAGCAGCGAAGGGTAGTTAGGGGTGACCAGGCCTGCAGGGGAGGGCAGTTAAGGGTAACCAGGCCTGCAGGGAATGTCACTTGGGGCAACCAGGCTGGAAGGGGAGGACAGTTAGGGACAATTGGGCTGGCAGGGGAGCAGTTAGGCATTGACCAGGCTGACAAGGGAGTGGTTAGGGTGATCAGGCTGGCAGGCAGAAACTGTTAGGGGCAATCAGACAGGCAGGAGGCGAGCAGTTGGGAGCCAGCAGTCCTGGATTGTGAGAGGGATGTCCAACCGCCTGTGTAGGATCAGGCCTAAATGGGCAGTTGAACATCCCTTGAGAGGTTCCACATTGGAGGGTGCAGGCTGGGCTGGCTCCCCTTCACCCCCCCTTTGTGCACAGGGCTTCTAGTACAAAGATAATAAAAAGAGTCTTGGCTTTCTAGTAGATTTGAAACTAATATCATTAAAAAAAGACATGGTGGTTCTTTGCTAAGGGTCACATTGAGCTGTGAGCTGCTTCAGGGTGTTTTTTAGGAATAGCAATGTGGCAGAAGACATCAAGACAAAAATCAAAATTCCGACTGCTCCTTCTGATAGCTGCTTCCCCAACCAGAATCAGGCCAGGAACTATTGGCAGAACTGCTTGCACTTCCATCACTGTGAGAAGGCAATGACCGCTACAGGGGGTGATGTCTCAAGTGGGCAAACGGTCCACATCCTGGTGGAAGCTCTGTTTGTTTACATTTCTGTTTCCTTGTGTTTGTTGCCAATCTGAGTAAGTCACAAGGCTCTGGGTTGTGTATTTTATTTTATAACTGTCTTCCCAACTATTAAGACCAAAGAAACTCTTAGAAAAAATAATAATAAAATAAAAAATGAGCAGAAGGCACATTTCCTTGGAAGATCTGAACTGGCCCCATCCTGACTCTCCTCTGTCTTTACTCTTCTCCCGGGATAGTGAAGGGGAACCTGAGCACATCCCACTGGGATACTGAACCATAGATTAATAGATCATAATTATAAATACTTGTTGGAAAAGTGTTAAAAAAAATACATGAGCATTAATGAGAGACTCACAATACTTACAGGAAGGGAAGAGCCCATGTATGGGGTGGGGATGAGAATAATTTTATAGAAAAAACAGTATTTAAGCATTTTCAGTTCATGCTTGAAGTATACAGTACATTTAAAGATAACTTTCTATGCACCGAGAATGGAATAAAACAGGAAATGAAGGTTTTAGAAATCGCAGGGGAAATTCTGGAATTTCAAATTGTCCAGTTTGATGAAAGAAATGGATGAGAGAATGATGAAAGACCTGGCTACAAAGGTAGGCTGCAGCGATGTTGAGGAAGTTGGATTTCATTTCTGAACACAGAAATAATGTATAAGTATTTAATACGATGGATTATTATTAGAATGGTTATTGTAATTATGGGTGAGAGATATATCCAAACATGATCCATAGTTCTGAATGTATACTTAAAACGTATCTTTTCATGTATAAATAATAAGGAATTTTTAATAAAACATATATACAAGAAATAATTCAAAAAAAGAGAAGTCATTCATATTTGACAATGCTCATCAGACACTTCATGCCTTTTCAACAGGAGGGAAATCAGCAGGTAATCTCAATAGCTCTTCTACTTCTTCTTGCAAAGCTTCTGCTTTTTCATTCAACAGCATCTACAATAAAAACATTAGGACATGGGACAAAATATTCAATGCTAGAGAAATTCTACCATTTTTATTGCTTGAATTCTTACACATCAGCAATCTAGATATTAAAACTAATATGAGATGGAAAAATGGCCACTTAAGAAGAAGTGATTATAGTAAGTGAAGCTGAAACATTTAGTTAAAGCCATTTTAGCTGATTACTCCATTTGATATACCAAAAATAAAGGAGCTCTAAAACATGATTTGTTTTATTGAAGATTCAGCCACTTAAAAATTAACTTTTAATCTATAAAATCTAAGACAATTTTGCAAAAATTTAATTAGCTCTTGAAAATGTTCTCCTTCATAATGCATTTTATTACTCCTCAAAATTTAGTATGCTTTTAAAAACCTATCACTTTTTCAAAGAAAAATTTTATTCAAGTTTCTAAAATTAATATGGTTAATTTTGAAAGAAACATAATAAGAGAAACATTTCCAAACATGGAGCATAGTAGAGGTAAATGAATATTTAACAAGTAATAACTTTCTCTTTCTTTTAGAAACCAGCAGTAAAATGTTGGTATTTGTTGTAGCTGGCTTTTGTGTATATTGTAGTAAAGTATTTGTCCTACTTCTGTTATAAAGTATTGTAATAAAAAGTTTAGCCAAGTCACATAGAGGGGAAATAAAGTCATATGATGCAAAGTGAAAGTGAAAAACTCTCTACCAATTTGACATAAGCATTACACAGCATCATATATAAAAAAGACTAAAATGTAATTAGGTAAGCTTTCCAGCAGCTAAGGCAGGGGTGACCATGTGAAATGAATCTCCCAACACATCCTCTAAAAACTATACAAATCAACAAGTAAACCACACAAAACTTGTGTCAGTGTCATTAGAATTACAGAGAATACCATCAACTTCAAATTACCCATGGTTAAAAAAATCCACCAGTTATCGAAAAATGGCATAATCTCAAAATAATCCTAACTAGTTTCCTCATCTCCATCCTTACTCTCCTATTTCAACTGCTGACCTTCTCCTCTGCTCAAAATCCTGCAAAGAATATCTATTTTTCTCTTTCAAACTGTCTGGAAAGTGAAAGAAGTGGTGAGAACCAGAGCATGCATCTTAGTCCATAAGGTAGAAGCCATGTATTGAGAATGTGACAGAATTAGGATCCCTGGATACGACACTGATTCCCATAATAGCTATAAATTACTTATGCTTGAATTTGTCTAATAAACTTTTAAAGTTTGAAATAACTGTTTTTGGCAATTTTTACTATCGCTCCATTTGTATCCCTAATGATATACAGTCTAATTCCACAGTCCTGGCTCTACTACTTATTGAGCTATACTTCCTTGGGTAAATAACTTAATTTCTTTAAATCTCATTTATTTATTCAAATACTAGTGGCCCAGTGCATGAAATTCATGCACATTAAAAGGGAACGAATTAGAGGAAATATTTTAATATTGCTACTGGCCTTTTCTCTATAATAGAAGTGTCAGAGATGAAAGAAAATTAGTAAAATGTATATGAAAATCTTCCTCTGTCAAGCCTGGGCCACGCCACGGACTCAGAGTCAAGTCCCTACACACCTGCATGCACCTCGAAATTGAAATCGTAGGAGACCCAGACCCGGCCAGCTCCACCCTCTTTCTCCTCTCTCCCACAGGGCAGCAGGAGGCAGCCTCAGGTGCCCCAGTCCAGGTGCTGGGGCAAGAGGCCAGACTCAGGTCCCCTGGCCCCGGCGTGAGGGCCTGAGGGTGCAAGGGCGCAACTACCATTTGCATATTAGTTCTTTATTATATAAGATATATTAAACACCTACTCTAGGCTGAGTACTATGCTAGCTGCCATTGCAATGGAAATGACTATAACTCCATCCCTACCAATCCCAAAAGTTTCTAATCTAATGGAAAAGGTGAGTTTTAGTGTTGTAAAATTGAAGGTAACACCAACTCTGTACACCTCACAGGACAATTGTAAAGATCAAAGAAGGTAATATAAACAATGTGAGCACCAATTAAAAAAAGATAGAAATTTACTGTTAGCTCATTCAGATCTGTATATGACCATATTGTAATAATGATGTTTGTTTTTTTTTGTTTTTGTTTTGTTTTTTAAAGCCAAGCAATTTTAGTCTATAAGAATGGAACTACAGTCAAAATCAGGAGGGGGCTGAAACCAGTTTGGCTCTGCAGACTAAGGGCTCCCAGGTGTGATTCCGGTCAAGGGCATGTATATTGGTTGCAGGCACATCCCCAGTGGGGGGTGTGCAGGAGGCAGCTGGTCGATGTTTCTCTCTCATCGATGTTACTAGCTCTCTATCCCTTTCCCTTCCTCTCTGTAAAAAATCAATAAAATATATTTAAAAAAAAATAAAATCAGGAGGGGAAAAAAACCAAATTGCTGTGGAATGGCTTCACCCACATTGAACAGAAGGGTAATAATACATATGATTGCATCTAGTGAAGGGTAAGTAGGACAACAATAGATTATTTAATGCAAATGAAAGAAACAGAAAAGAGAAACCCTTGTTGGCAGTGAGAACTGTTTTTCAATATGTGGACACTACTATAAGAATAAAGGAATTGCCCTAACTGGTTTGGTTCAGTGGATAGAGCGTCGGTCTACAGACTGAGGGGTCCCAGGTTCGATTCTAGTCAAGGGCATGTACATTGGTTGCAGGCACATCCCCAGTGGGGTGTGTGCAGGAGGCAGCTGGTTGATGTTTCTCTCATCGATGTTTCTAGCTCTCTATCCCTCTCCCTTTCTCTCTGTAAAACATCAATAAAATGTGTATATTTAAAAAAAAAAAAAAAAAAGAATAAAGGAACAGAATAGTTCCAGATAGTAGTATTACAGTGCAATGGTCAACATTTTAAGAAGACAAAATTGAGCCTCATTATAATGGGATGCTTTTTGTTATGCTAAGAGTGACCAAATATAGAACTATGTTATTTTTGAGGTTGTAAGCTCCTTGTCAGTGAAGGTTTTTCAAAGGTGGGAGGACCAAATGTTGAGAGTGCTGAGGAAAGGACTTATGCGAAAAGGTTGTAAGGAGGCCGAATTCCATGAGTTCTAGGCTTCCTTGTACTTCAGTGAACTCTTGAAACTGTCAGTTTTTAGAAAGTAATTTTTCTCTTTATTGCAAGTCTTGATCATAACAAATGCACTATTTTTACCCACATATTATGAATTTATACTTTTGTATCTATTGTTAAATATGTGTGTTTTTTCATGTCTCAGATATAAGGAGATAATACCACAAAACATTATAAAGGTTAAAAAATGGTTTGCTTACCTTTGCTGATGAAACAATTTGCTTGGCCTGGCGTCTTGATAAATGATCAATTGTCTTTATTAGCACTTCAGGATTTGCATTAGCTAAGTGTGCTAGACTTTTATAACCTGCATTGTATAACTGTTTTGCTCGACCCTGAAAAATATTACAAAAATCAGTAGGCTCAAAATTTGGGATTTAGAAAAAAATAATTAAATGTCTTATTAAAAGGAAAAATTGTATATGCAAATATATCTATCTATATATATATATATATATATATATATATATATATACTAAACATACTAAAATAAATAAAGTAAGAATGAAGAGATAACACATCAGAATCCAGAGGAATTTTGTATTGTGTTCAAAGATGTATTTGAATGGTTCCAATGTGTCTGCAAGATAGCCTTCTGTGCAGCATAAGTCATCTGATATGTGTTGCAATCAGCAATGAGAAATCCATTATGGCACTTAGGCTAGGGCCATTATTTCAGACACCAAACAAATGTTCTAGTCTAATATCCTTAAAGTGTACCAACTCGGGGAATTATAGAGGTTGGGTGTGCTGGGGTGTGGTGGGGTCTATTCCCAAGCAGTAGAGCTCCTCTAATCCAAGAACTGAATATCAGAGAATAAACTTAAATTAAGGGCTGGTCAAAACAGAAAGCTGAAAAACCAGCAGAGAATACTTTCTTCTCACTCTCTACAAAACCGTAAATGAGCCTTGTTAGTACTGAATCACCACTACCCTAGATAAGCACAGAGTCTAAACCGACAGAAGGTAATTCTCCACTGGAGTGGAGGAAGGAAGACGCTAAGGATAAACACACATATGCTTTAAGAGTTTCTTCTTATCCCTTCTGTTATTTGTCTTTTCACATTTGTGCTTCCGAATTAATGGGATTTCTACAATAGAAAGCCACAGTAGCAATTTACTTAAAAAAAAAAAAAAAAAAGATTGCCTTAAGGCTGTTTGTTGTTGTCAGTTACCTGTGACAAGACTTCACAGTTAGTTGAAATCATCTCAACTGGGAAAGTGGGAAGTTACTAACCTTTAAAACTCCAGTCACTTCCATGAGAGGGATTAGTTCTGCCTTTACACAGTAGGTCAGTTTCTTGGTAAGTTCTACCAAAAGGGCTTTATAAACCCAAAATTCCTCAAGTTCCTGCAGAATACAAAGAAATATACAGAATTTAAATCTGGTCAGTCATTTCAAAGTTCAGTTTGCATAGTAGGGGGCTCACATGATTAGGAAATGTAAGCTAGTATTAAAAAGATCAGTATACGTAGAAGATATTTAGAAAGATAAATTTACTAAAATAGTTAGCATTTAATCCAAAGTCAATTATTTTACATTGTTTACTCCTTAGTACATATGACAGAATTAATTGCCATATACACATACAGATAGGGAAAATGAAGTTGATTTTAAGTTTAAAAATAGAACTTATGGGAAAATTATTTAAAAAATTGAGCACAGAAACAAATATGAAAAGGATATTCAGCTATCCAACAATAAAAAATGTAAATGCAGCAAAATGGCTTAAAATTATAAATTTGTCCAAAAAATTATCTGAGTAGAAAAGTCTGGCAAGCTTTGTTGTGTTATTTAAGGAAATTCTGAAAATTTCTTTTGGTAAAATCTTAAACAAACAAATCCATCGTAAATGCACAGGCCAAAATAAAATTTTCTCCTTAAATTGCTTTTTAAAATGGGCATTTGTTGTAGAAACTAAAGTAGCTCCCTGACAATGGAAGCGAGAATGGTAAATTACTGGGGCACTCTACGGAACATGATACCAAGTAGTTAAAAGTAGCTGTCAAACATACTAATCAAACATTTCACATGAGTATCACTCATGAGAAGGATCCTCAGACAGAATCAACATGAGTGGAGAGATGTCATTTTAAGAGTTGATTCCAAACACTTGAAACTATTAATGCTGGTTCTAAGAATAAGGATAACTAACTATTCTACTTGCTTTCTACTTGTTCATTACATACTCTAGTTGATTTTGTCATTTAAAAAAAAATATATATATATTTGATTGATTTTTTACAGAGAGAAAGGGAGAGAGATAGTTAGAAACATTGATGAGAGAGAAACATCCATTAGCTGCCTCCTGCACGCCCCCCACTAGGGATGTGCCCGCAACCAAAGTACATGCCTTTGACAGGAATCGAACCTGGGACCCTTTAGTCCACAGGCCGACACTCCATCCACTGAGCCAAACTGGTTTTGGCTGATTTTGTCATTTTTGTATCTTTATCACAAGTATGTATAGAGTATTTCTGTAATAAGCAAATAAAAACAAAAATATATTTTAAATAAATTCTGACTGCTTTGTAACAAAATAAGTCAAGAAAATAATAAGTTAAGAAAATAATATCTGCCCCGACCAGTTTTGCTCAGTGGATAGAGCATCGGCCTGTGGGGTCCCAGGTTTGATTTTTTTTTTTTAAATATATTTTTATTGATTTTGTACAGAGAGGAAGGGAGAGAGATAGAGAGTTAGAAACATCAATGAAAGAGAGTCATCGATCAGCTGCCTCTTGCACACCCCCTACTGGGGATGTGCCCGCAACCAAGGTACATGCCCTTGACCGGAATCGAACTCGGGACCCTTCAGTCCCCAAGCCGACGCTCTATCCATTGAGCCAAACCGGTCTTGGCCCAGGTTTGATTTTGGTCAAGGGCATATACCTTGGTTGTGGGCACATCCACAGTGGGTTGCATGTAGGGGGCAGCTGATCGATGTTTCTCTCTCACTGATGTTTCTAACTCTCTGTCCCTCTCCCTTCTTCTCTGTAAAAAAATCAATTAAAATATATGTTAAAAATAAATAAAAAGCTGTTAATATTTTTTTAAAAGAAAATACTAACTGGTTTATGAGTTTGGTAACAGTTAAAATAAGAATATGCCCAAAGCATCTATCATCTATTTAATGGAATTACCTCACAGAAATGTAACACACAACATGAGAAGGTGGCAGCTGCAGTGAGAAGACTTTGTATATATCCTCTCGGCATATTAAATTTTTCAGACACACTCCAAATGCTGGTCTCTTTGAGCAAGGCATAAAGAACCAAAGACAGGTATAGTCTGTTCACTATGTCCTTGTCCACCGTCTAGAAAGACACAATCAAATACATTTATATACTGAACCTGCTAAAAATGTACATTATATTCAAATTGGACAAAGGTAAATTGAATGAAATTGTGCTACGGACAGGAGAGCTAAGATAATGATAGAATAATTCAAAGAAATAAAACTAACTTCTAACATACGTAACTTAGATTATTAATAATTCAAATAATCATTTTTTTTAAGTATAAAAAAATGCCAAATTGTTTCCAATTTAATTAAACTTCTTTCTATAGGGAGTGTAGAGGCTGAGTTGTGTCATACCAAGAAAAGATATGCTCAGATCTTAACACTCGGACCTTTGAAGGTGACTATTCCTGGGAAAGGATATTTGCAGTTGTAATTAGTTAAGGATCTTGAGAGGAAATCATCTTGGATGTACAGTGGGCCCTTTTGTTAAAGCAAATTATAGTAAAAATTTTTTAAGTTCAACATATAAAACTACTGTCCTTATAGAAAAGAGGACACAGAGTGACACAGACAAGCAGGCCATGTGAAGCTGGAGGCAAATATTGGAACCAAAGAAAAACCAAGGATTGCCAGCAACCACTGAAAACTAGGAGACAGGCAAGATGGTTTCCTCCTCAGAGCCTCCAGAAGGAATCAACCCTGCCAGCCTCTTAATTACAGACGTTTGGTCTCTGAACTATTATGAGAGAATCAACTTCTGTTGTTTTAAGACACCCAGTTTGACTTTGGGTGGTGAATACACAATACAATATACAGATGATGTATAATAGAATTGTACACCTGAAGTCTATATAATTTTACTAACCAATGTCACCTCAATCAATTCAATTTTAAAAAAAGACACCTCCTGTGTGCTAATTTGTGGTAGCGGCCCTAGGAAAATATAGAAAGAGAGGAACTGGGGAGACCTTTTTATTTCCTGTGGTATTTATAGATTGTATATATGTGTGAATGTGATTGCAAACTAGACAAATGCATTTATCTAGATAAATATGTTAATAAGCTTATCTACATTGTAAACTAAGTAAATATTAGATTCTATGTTTTCCACATGGACAAGATAAGTAAGTAATGTTTCCAAAGCTAAAACACTGAAAGAGAAAAATGCTCTCTAATGTTGACAATTTCTATTCTGTGTACCTGCTTTTGACTGTGGCGTCCTGTGACTATTTTTTGTGTGTAGTAAAATTAGAGTGGGGATAAGATTGAACTTGGAAGAGAAAAAATTGTCATAAAATATAAAATTATATCCTCTACTATAGGAATAGAATGTTTGAGATGAAAACCTAGACTGACATATTAAAGAATATATGAATTAAGATTCTGCATGTTGATACTGGATCAATCACTTAAAAAACATGATAGAAATAAAAGTTGAATAAAAGTAGAAAAAGATCATTTTTTAATTTTCCAAATCTGGTGCACCTTCATTATTAAAATTGAGTCAATGTAGATTTTGTTCAAAAGGCATTTTTTAAGTCAAGCAAAATGATAAAATTATATTACAGGGCAAGATAAAATGCTTAGCTCCAATTCTAAGCTCTTTTACAAGAAATGTTTAAAGAAAAGGAGGGCTTTTTTTTTTTTTCAATGTGGAGAAATCAATTTAATAGATTTTCAGTAAAATCATGTTCTCTATAAGTAATGATAGTTTCAAAACATTAAATATTAAATAATCCACTTGTAATTAAATTCTTGTCCATACTAGTTTAAATATACAATTATTAATTGAATAAATGTTTACTGACTGTATTTCCTTTTTCTAATGCATTTTTATTGATTTCAGAGAGGAAGGGAGAGAGAGATAGAAACATCAATAATGAGGGAGAATCATTGATCGACTGCCTCCTGCATGCTCCATACTAGAAATCGAGCCTTTAACCCGGGAATGTGCCCTGGCTGGGAATCAAACCATGACCTTCTGATTCATAGGTCATCACTCAACCACTGAGCCATACCGACCATGCTATTGACTATATTTCATAAAATGTAACAAAAATAAATTTTGGTGCAAGTTTAAAAAGACATATTATTCTAATAAAATTTTGTAAAGGTTTATTATTTGGTAATATGTTCCAAATTAACATGATTTTTAAAATATAATTTTGTTTTTATTTTATATTATGCAGTTGGTTATAAAAAGTTTGTTTTAAGAAATATTTTTATTCCAACATTTTGAAGGTCTAAACAACAGGGCCATTTGTAAGGTAAAAGACTTAATCTAAATGTTGTGACAACATAAATATTGAAGTACTATAATATCTACTTATAATATCATGATAAGCAATACATGAGACAGTAGCACCATTCAAGTCAAAGGAGAGTAAACATCATCTTTTGTTTTTCAAAATGAAATCAGTAATATCCATATAAATATAAAAGCATAGGAGGAAATAGTAGGTAGATAATTAGGTTTCAATGGAGTTTGGATTATCAAAGAAAATTAAAAATGAATAAAGTGTATTTTATGACGTGGAAAATAATATTAACTTAAGGAATTTTAAAGCATGTTAGTTAAAGAATTTTTTCCACTTCTCTTAAAGTTAGTGTATGCATTATACACTTGCTTCATGCTTGTTGACTGAACTTTAAAACCCCAAAATATAAAATATCAAACAAATGATATCCAACCTTTTAGAATGTTTTATGTATGTCAAATATTAGTTTGGAAGTTCTTTGTAGACAACAAACAACAAAATCAACAAAAACAACAAAAACCCTAAACCTGTCCTATCTCAGAATCTCTGGTAACAAGTAGAATGCCTAATAAAAGTTTCTAAAAAACAAATTTTCTCCCAAGAATTGAATTTATTTCAGGATTACATAATATCATGAAAATAATAAATATTTTAAATTTTTTATAATGTAAGCAGTAAGTAGCCTGGGAAAAATATAAATTAATAAGGTTTACCTTTCCCTATAATAGCCTTATGTATGACAGAGTATTTTATAATTCAAAGGTATAAAAATAGGCTATCACACCACCAACAAATAAATAGTTTTTTAAAAATGACTATGTTTCTGGTCCTTAGATGTTTTAACTAAGAAAGTGGAAATTTAATTTAGAGAAAAGAAGTGAAACAAAAAGATCAAGTCAACAAGGGAGATGATACATTTTGTTAGATGTATAATTTTGTTAAATGAACTTATTTAGGAAGGAAAAAAAGATTATGGTACCTTCTTGATAGCTTGACCTGATGCTTTCTTCCCAATATAGTTTTCAGAGACTCCGACAAGAGCAGCCACGTTTTGTTCTGCTGGACTGAGCTGGTTAAACTACATTTTTAAAAAATAGTCATTATATAGAAAAATCTAATTATACTTTTAAAAAATGCCATTTGAACCAAATCCAGTCTTTTCTATGATATCACATTTTCTTGTTTTTAAAGGATATGAAAAAGTAACACATTTTATGTACAAATACTACAAACTTAAAAATATTATTAGAATGTAGTATATTTTAAATATATTTTTATTGATTTCAGAGAGAGAGAGAGATCGGTCAACAGTGAGGAAGAATCATGGATCCGCTGCCTCCTGCACGCCCCCGGCTGTGAATGTGCCCTTGACTGGAATTGAACTTGAGACCCTTCAGTCCACAGGCCGACACTCTATCCACTCTATCCTGACCCAAACCGGCCAGGGCTATAGCATATTTTAGTAGAATTACTTTAAGTCATGGTCACAAGTATTATGTAATATTGAAAGGGTGGTTAGGAGAAGAGGGAAAGCTTTTGAAAGTAACTGCATTATATACTACCAGCTAAGAAAACTTACAGGAATAATTTTAAAATATGACAATAAAAAGAAAGTTAATTTCTTGCAATTAAAAGCCATGTACCACTTCTGCCTAATATGTGTTCATGCATCTATCCTGTTTACAATAAAATCATAATAGATTATACTCTACCACTTGCTTTTGTAATAAATAGGGTCAGGTCCACAAAACATATATCCATAAAACTGATATTCCTTCTCAGTTACCAATAGTACTGGGTCTGATATATTATGCTTAGCTCTGACAGAGCTTTCAGGTAACTAAACTCTCAATCATCAGAGATGGTCTTCATGGTTTCCTTTGGATTCCAGACATCTATACATATAAAAGGCTAATATACTAAGTGTCCGTCTGACTGGTAACTAATATGCACACTGACCACCAGGGGGGCAGTCGCTCAATGCAGGAGCTACCATGATGCGCACTGGCCATTTACAAACAGCATCATTAACTTGGCGTCCAGAAAGCAACACTTGGCTTCCCCCAAGTGGACACAGGCCCTGCCAGCATCCTGGAGCAACAACCCTACAAATTGTAGCCAATGCTGCCAAGACCCCATGGCACAAAATGTGGTCTGGAAATGGTGGCTGTGGGCACCAGGTAATGACGTGTCATAGCAATGCCTGGCTTCCTCTCCCTAGCAACTAGCCTCCTTGCAGGTTCTTCAGCCCAGAAACATGACTTGCTTTATAGCCAGGTGCAAATATTTTACATTTAAACCAAATGTCTGTGAAGCATTTCCTGTGCCTCATCTCATTTATCCTCACAGAAGACCTGGAGTAGATAGATAGGAAACTCGATAGAATCCTATTTTCTTTTCATTAACTGGAAAACAGAGATTTAGGAAGCTTAAAATTGACTCAATTGAAAAGAAGGAATGGTGGACCTTGATAATGACTTTAGGTTTTCTCACTGTGCAGAATATAATCAAACACTGTTGTAGTTAAATATTTTACCCTTTATCCTCCCTGCATGATTTACAACAATAATCTGCTTCGAGTTGATATTTAGTGCTGTGTTCCTAACAATTACCTGAAAGGGAAGTTGGGGTGCTTCACAGGGCTGGAAAAAGTTTAGCTACATCAGAAAGCAGGTCTAATTAAGCAAGTTTATTCTACACCTATAAAATGCTAAGTTGACTCGGGCATGCACCATACATATAAAGCTCTCACTGGTGTTAATTGCACAAGTGTGTTTTGACCTGTCATGGTCGATCGTGAATTTGACACTTCTATTACAGAGAAAAGGCGAATAGCGATATTAAAATATTTCTTCTAATTAATTTCCTTTCAATGTGCATAAAATAGTGCACTGGGCCACTAGTTATAAAATAACATGCTGTAGTCAACAAGTCAGAAGAGTAGCTATCTTTGGGGGAGTAACTATCTTTTTCCACACTTTTATTTTTTTTGATAATGACATGTTTATATTTAACAGAAGAGTAATAATATTTAAGTTAAATAAACCAAAAATGCTATTGTCATATTACTATTTTTTTTAAACGAAAGAAAGGCCCAATTTAAAACATATTTTAACAGAAAAAGTGAGTAACTACTTGATAAAAACCATTATCATAATAAACTAAGTAACCTATACTGAAGAACCTTATATGCTCACCTGTTTAAAATATATCATCCAATCAGGGTCACACTGAGAAGCGATATCATAGGGAGTGGTTAGGTAAATTAGATGAAGAAGGCTTTCAAGCACAAGGCCTTCAAGACCTTTCTGCAAATCTCTGTAGAGAATGTCACAATAAGCCAAATCTATAGTTCCTAAAAAACACAAGTATTTCCTCGTTCATAATTACCAAAAAAGGAAAGAAGCAATTTTAAAGAAAATCTTGTTTAGAAGTTACCTAAATAGAGCAAACGGCATTCAAAATCTCTTATTATGTAATTTAGCATGGCTATTTTAGAAATCATTTTGATAGTATACACCAACATTTAATAAGCATATACTTTTTAATCCAACTACTCTATTTTTGGGAATGTAACCCAGAACATTTCTCCATATACCGAAAAATACATGAATATAGATGTCTATGCAATCTTGTTTATAATTTAAAAAACTCAGAAACTGTGTAAATGTTCATCAATAGGGGAATGGGTAAACAAATTATGGCCTTCCTACAACAGATGTCTAAAGTAGTCAAAGTAAAAAAGTAAATTTAAAGGTATTAACTTATTATGTTCATGATAGCCCTGGCTGGTTGGCTTAACTGATTGGAACATGGTCCCATACACCAGAAGGTGGCAGGTTAGATTCTTGGTCAAGGCACACCCCTAAGTTGCAAGTTTGATCCCTGATCAATCAGGAGGTATATTGGAGGCAACCAATAGATGTTTTTCCATCTCTCTCCACCTTATTCTTTTCTCTCTACGTGTCCTTGAGTGAGAACAACAACAAAAAGATGTGAATGATATTTTGTAAGAAAAGCAAGCTGCTAAAACATATCCTATGATTCCATTAAAAAAATAAACCATGTGCATATACATGTATGCATATGTGTATATATATATACATAAAGACATATAAATGCACATACATATATGCATACATACACATAAAAATATTTGCAATTGTTAACTGAGGCAGCCACTGGAAGAGTGGAAATGGGACAGGAATATGGGATTTTCCTTTAACAACAGCCATATATTATTTTTCATTAAGTAAATTATGTAGTGGACATTAAGAAAGAAACTAACCACTATCATGCAACAATTTCTAAGATAATATATTATTTAAAAACAAAAGTTTAAACAAATCTTTAACCTGTATATATCTATGTATTATGCATTGAAATGAAATATACAGAAACTGTTTGAAAGATATACACCAATTTGTTATTCTTGGTAGGATATTAATATCTGTGTGATTGCCGGGGAAGGGACGTGTAAAAAAGGGATGAACATCTTTTTGTCTATATACTTCTGCAGTATCCTAAATTACTTGTAATTTAAAACATTTTTCAACTTTTTAAAGTTTGTAAGATTAATGTCAGTATGAAATTACAAATCTAATTTAAAGTAACAGAATAATGTCTACTTTTTCCAATGCATTTCCTCAGATTTTGGTAAAGTAAGATTTTTTAAAAATTTAGGTAAACTATTACCTTTAAAAGAAGCTCTTCCCAACTTTGTAATATGAAAACTATACTGGAACCATTCTTCGGACTTATAACTAGAATCTTTTTGTGTAAGTCCTTTTTCTGTCAAAATGGTGTCATTTTGGAGGAGTCCTTTTTCTGTCAGGTATTTAAGTGATTCAACAGTTATTTCCCAGAGACTTTTTTCTTTCAACAAAATCTTTTGCTGAACACCAAAAAGTGTACCACTCATAAAGTGATATATGTCACCAAGATGTGTTGCAATCTGAAATAATACAGGATATCACTGGAGCATTTTCCTTAATTCAAGACATCATTTTGAATATACTCTAATTAAGATGATAATTCATTTCTATACTTCAAAGATAAATAAAAAATTAGTATAAAATCTACATAGTTGCACATATAAAGATAATTTTATAACGGCATTTTAAAATTAACAAGAGAAAACATTTTAAGGAAGAAGACAATTATTATATTCAGACTTGTTATGAAATCATCTACACACACACACACACACACACACACACACACACACCCTTCTCAGGTTTTTTTGAATAATTTTTCACAGTATCTCCAAAGCTGTGATCTGTTTATTCCTCAACCAATAATCACTAATTCCCACTCTACCTTTTTTCAGAAATCCTCACATCACTCCTTTTCAGCCACCTGTGAAAACAATCTAAAAGTTGTATTAAAAGTCTCTACTGAAACAAGATCAGGCAATATTTTCCCTGTATATTACCTAAAAATAAATAGTTTCCCACATGTTTTTGTCTCATTTCTAAATTCTTTTCTTGTCTTTTTCTCTCTTCTCCTTTTATATACTATTTAAAACTTTTAATGGCAATCATCAGTAAAACTTAACCCTTCACTTGTTAATTAGTTGTATAGTTGACTGAATTAGACTACCCTGTTTCCCCGAAAATAAGGCAGTGTCTTATATTAATTTTTTCTCCCAAAGTTGCGCTAGATCTTATTTTCAGGGGATGTCTATCTTTCCATGCGCTAGGTCTTATTTTCGGGGAAACATGGTATCTAATAAAATATGCAAATTGACCATCACTCCAACACACAAGATGGCTGCTCCCATGTGGTCAAAGATGGTCGCCTCCATCTGGACACAAGATGGCCTCCAAAAGATGGCTGGCAGGGGAGGGTAGTTGTGGGTGATCAGGCCAGCAGGGGAGGGCATTTGGGGATGATCAGCCCTGTAGGGGAGGAAATTTAGGGGTGACTGGGCCTGCAGATGAGGACAGTTAGGGGTGACTGAGCCTGCAGGTAAGGACAGTTGAGGAGGACCCAGGCCTGCAGGGGAGGACAGTTGAAGGGGACCAGGGCTGTAGGGGAGGGCAATTGGGGGGGAGCTAGGCCTACAAGGAAGGGCAGTTGAGGGGGGGGGGGGGAGACCAGGCCTGCAGGGGAGGACAATTGGGGGGTGGGGGGGAAATAGGCCAGCAGAATCAGGCTGGCAAGGGAGAGCAGTTAGGGGCTTTTTTTTTAAATTTTAATTTTTTCTTTTATTTGCTTGTATATTGATAAAAATCCTGCCCCCCTTTTTTCCTACAGGGCTTCAGAAAAAAAAAAAAAATTCATTCATTAATGTTCTCATCAATATTTCTTTAAAATTTTTTTTTTAATTGATTAAGGTATTACATATTTGTCCTCAACCCCTCCATGATTCTGAACAATCTAATAGATTCCAAGAGGGGAAGTTCATCATTTGTGAAAGACTCTCTTATATCCCCTCTAAACATTGTTGCTTTGCATAAAATTCGTGTCTTTGGGCCTTTCCTTCCAGCAGTAATTTCTTCACAGCATCTTTAGTTTCTTATACTGATTGATACAAGGTGTCTCTCCAATGTATGCTTCATGAAGGCAGGGATTTTTGTGTTTTGGTAACTGTTCTAATTTCAGCATCTATAGCTATACCTGAAAGATGATAGGTACTCAGTAAGTTTATTTGTTGAATGAACGAATCTGAATTAAAGCATAAATGTGAATAAATGAATTTTTAAAAACAAAAGCAAATGACTGTCCTTTTTTAAACTCCTGACTTTTTTCTTCTTTGTGTTGTAGTTTTAGGCAGACTTATATACATTTACCCTGTTACAGAAGGGTGTGTTAAATTTTCCCCTCAAATATGTACTTTTTCTTCAGTTAGCAGTGGTTCTCAATCTTTCTAATGCTGCGACCCTTTAATATAGTTCCTCATGTTGTGGTGACCCCCAACCATAAAATTATTTTCGTTGCTACTTAATAACTGTAATTTTGCTACTGTTAATGAATCGTAATGTAAATATCTGTGCTTTCCGATGGTCTTAGGCTCTACAGGTTGAGAACCGCTAGCAGGGTAATTTTATATTAGGCAATTTCAATGTTATCAGCATGTTATACTAAAATATAGTCAGTCAATAAGCATGTTTCCCTCTCACAATTCTGATAATATTTCAAATGAAAAATTTAAGTAGTCATTTCATATTAAACTAATATAAGGGATAATAAAAAATATTATGGAACACTGACATTTCTTATTCCTTCTCTTAATATAGTATTCAATTAGGCTAAAGTTGCACTTTTAAGATATTCTATTCTAGAACTGATACTCAGTTTGTAGATTATCAACAAACTTAGTTTCTATATTGTTTTCTACTTGGTTAATTACAGTTAACACTGGGGATTTAAAAAAATAACATTTATTTGACCCTTCTAGCTACCACCATGTTCACTTTCTACCCCTCTGTGAAAACTCTTTAGACATAGTGATTTAAACCCACTGGGCTAGCCTCTGCCTCTGGCCTCCACAGCCTCTCAAAGCTGGATTCTCCACTGTTGCTACAACCTGGAAGTTCAACCATACCAATTCCAAAGTCTATCCATTAATGAATCCAAGCATTTACTGACACACACCCATATGCCAGGTACTGTGTCAGGCACTGAGATTCAGTGACATGAAAGTAAATGCGGACCCTGCTCTCACAGGGCTTACATTCCAGTGGGGGTACAGTGTGTGGTTCCATGGAGTGCACAAGACTGACTGGATTCAGTGGCACAGGGAGGCTTTCTTGAGGAAGCGCTGGTTAAGTGAAACTCTGAAGGCTGGGAGGGAGTTAACCAGACAAAGTTGTGGGGACTACAGACTGCATGAAAGGTTAAGAGCACTGGTTTTGTATTTAGACAAAGATGAATTCAAACCTAGACTTTGCCACTTTGTGGCGGAGTAACATTGGGCACAAAGTTAAAATTTACTTAAGAATAATTCTAAAAAGGAAGTTTAACTCAGGAGTAAGCTTTAAAAAGAGAGCTAATTTCTAATCTTAGTAAAAGAGTATTTTCCTGTCATGCCTTTTTTTTTTTTTTAATGTTTTTTAATTTTATACCTGATAAAGGCTATAGTTATCTCATAAATGTTTAAAATACCTAGGATGGTCACAGGACTATAGGTGAACCTTATTCTTAAGGGCAGAAATATTGAATTATTCCATATCAGGATGTGATTCTTCACAGCAATTTGTGTATCCATAGTATCCACCAAACTCTAATACTTATAACTGATGCCCAGTTATGATGTTGATTTCTCATATTTCTTATAACTCAAAGATTAAAATGCACATATAAATCCAGATTCAGATCTCTCAGGTAACAAACTGTTCTTTTCCACATCAAATTAAAGTTAACATTTTTTTCATACTTTACAGTTTTCATAACTATTTAATCTATATTATCTTAGGTAACAGCAAAAAGATTTTAAAATATTAAAATATACCTTCAAACCAATCAATGAGAGAAACAAAGTTTGGATTCCCTTGGTGAATTCTTGAACAAGATGGCTGTAACAGTTTTCCAATGGTCTGCTTATTAATTCCAATGCCTACAAAAGTTAAAGCAGTATTAAGTTTTGTATTATTATAAAGAACTAGAGGCCCAGTGCACGAAATTCGTGCACATGGGGGGTGTGTCCCTCAGCCCAGCCTGCACCCTCTCTAATCTGGGACCTCTTCAGGGATGTCCAACTGCCCGTTTAGACCCGATCCCAGTCAGCTCTCTCACAATCCAGGACTGCTGGCTCCCAACTGCTCACCTGCCTTCCTGATTGCCCCTAACGGCTTCTGCATGCCAGCCTGATCACCCCCTAACTACTCCCCTATCAGCCTGATTGCCCCTAACTGCCCTCCCCTACAGGCCTGGTCTCTCCCAACTGCCCTTCCCTGTAGGCCCGGTCAACCCCAACTTCCCTCCTCTGCTGGCCTGGTCACCCCTAACTGCCCTCCCCTGCATCCTTGATTGCCCCCAACTGCCCTTCCTTGCATGCCTGATCATCCACAATTGCCCTCTCTTGCAGGCCTGGTCCCTCCCAACTGCCCTCTCCTGCTGGCCATCATGTGGTGGCTATCTTTGACCACATGGGGGCAGCCATCTTGTGTGTTGGAGTGATGGTCAATTTGCATATTACTCTTATATTAGATAGGATAAACGGTGTTTTATATAAAATTTTATATTGTTTGCATATCTTGTAGAGGCAGGGTAAGATAAAGAAAATACAAAGACAAAAAAAAAAAGAATGTACAGTTGTGCTCATGAAAATAGAAGATAATTAAGAAAAATGCTTTTCGGAGATCCAAGATGGCTGCGCCCAGGTGAACACCTAGCCGCAGCCGCACACAACAATTTCAATAAAATACAACTAAAATATAAAACGGACATTGCCCAGAACTACAGGAAGGTTGACTGACTGGAAATTCTACAGCGAGAAGCAAGGAGAAAACCAGAAGGAGGCGCGGAGGTGCTGGAAAAGCCAAGGTACGGAGACCCGGCGCGCGGAGAGGACGGAGCCGGAGAGGAGGGAGGCCGAGTGCCTGGCGGGCGTTCCCTAGCAGAAAGGAGATAAAACTCCAACTGTTTTGGGCCCCCGTCTGCTCTGAACCCCAGTTCTAGGCCAGACCCTGGGGACTCAGGCTCAGCCATAGGGAGCCGGGCTGTAAGGCGGAACCCCGGGGAGAGGCGAAAGGAGGTCCTGGTAGCGCGCACACTGCACGCAGAGAAGGGACGGTCGGCTGTGCCGCGGGATTGCCCTGATGGGAAGGAGACTGGGGCTCCAGACTGCTCTGAACGCCACCTCCAACTCCACTTCCAACTGAACTGAACCCCAATACTGGGCTCATTGTGGGAGAGCCTAGACTGTTTGGCAGCAGGCGAAAATCGAGGGCACCTTTCTCTCAGAGGCGCTGGCAGCGAGCACTGAAGGACCCGCATAGGGCGGGGCTGACGGAAGCCAAAGCTGCAGGCTCCACCCTGAAACCCTGTCCCATCTGTAACTGCGAAATGCGACAACAAAATAGATCACAAACGAAAGAAATGGAGGACAAAAAGCGCCTGGATATAGAGTTCAAATCTACGCTTATAAGGTTTCTCAAGAATTTCCTAGAAAAGATGGATAAGACCTATGAGGATATGAAAAGAGATCAACTAGAATTAATAAGGAGTCAATAAGAAATGATAAGCGATCAACAAGAAATAATAAGGGATCAACAAGAAATAAAAAATACATTGTCTGAAATAAAAAATATTTTACAGAGTCCTAAAAACAGAAGGGAAGATCGCAAGAATCAAGTCAAAGATTTGGAACATAAAGAGCCAGAAGACACTCCTCCACAGAAGCTAGAAGGCAAGAGAACCCAGAAAATTGAAGATAATGTAAAAAACCTCTGGGACAACTTCAAGCGAAGCAACATCAGAATTATGGGGGTCCCAGAAGATGAGAGAGAGCAAGATATCGAAAACATACTGAAAGAAATAGTAACAGAAAACTTCCCCCACCTGGTGAAAGAATTAGACTTACAAGTCCAGGAAGCGCATAGAACTCCAAACAAAAGGAATCCAAAGAGGACCACACCAAGACACATCATTATTAAAATTCCAAGAGCAAAAGACAAAGAGAGAATATTAAAAGAAGCAAGAGCAAAGAAGGTAGTAACCTATAAAGGAGCACCTATACGATTGTCAGCTGATTTCTCAACAGAAACCATGCAGGCCAGAAGGGAATGGCAAGAAATATTCAAGGTGATGAATAGCAAGAACCTACAGCCAAAAATAATCTACCCAGCAAAGCTATCACTCAGAATCGAAGGTCAGATAAAGAGCTTCACTAATAAAAAAAAGCTAAAGGAGTTCATCACCGCCAAACCAGAATTATATGAATTGCTGAAGGAGGTTCTTTCAGAAGAGAAAGTAAACAAAGATAAAAATTATGAACAACAAATACGTAACTATCAACAAGTGAATCTAAAAACTAAGGAAATTAAAAAAATCTGATGAACAATATTAACTGTTGAATATAATAGAATCAGAGGTATGGAAGGGGAGTGAACTGACGATTCTTGGGGAAAAGGGGAGAGGAGGGCATGGGAAGAGACTGAACATAAACTGTGCACCTATGGATGAGGACAATGGGGAGAGGGGAAAGGGCAGAGGGTGGGGTGGGAACCTAGTGGAGGAGAGCAATGGTGGAGGGGGGAAAGGAACATTTGTAATAATATGAACAATAAAAACTTATTAAATAAATAAATAAATAAATAAATAAATAAATAAATAAAAGAGGAAAAAAAGAAAAATGCTTTTCATTGTTGTATAAAATACAAAATTATTCAAACTACTCTTTCTAATTTTTTTTAAGATGTATTTTATTGATTTTTGTACAGAGAGGAAGGGAGAGAGATACAGAGTTAGAAACATCGATGAGAGAGAGTCATCGATCAGCTGCCTCTTGCACACCCCCTACTGGGGATATGTCCGCAACTAAGGTACATGCCCTTGACCGGAATCGAACCCGGGACCTTTCAGTCCCCAAGCCGACGCTCTATCTACTGAGCCAAACCGGTCCCGGCCTCTTTCTAATTTTTAATCCCAGAGAAAGAAACATTATTTAAAGAAATATTAATAATAAATTTTAAAAAGATCATCTCATAAAAGTGGTAGGCCAAAGTTCAAAAAAAGACAAAACAACCAACTTACAACTAGACTGAGTTACCTGTTGCTTGTCTTTTTCTTGCAATATAAGGATACTCTCCCCAGCAGAATCTATTCCAGCACGGCCAGCTCTGCCAATCATCTGTTTATATTGACTTCTCTTTAAAAATTCCTTAGCAACATAGGGGGCTCTCAAAATAACTCTATGAAATGGATAAAATTAATTAAAAATTATATTCCACCTATAGCAATAGCTACTTTTTAAATTCTTAATTTCATTATACCTATGCAATATTAAATTTAATGACATATTACTTAAAATAGAAAACTAGTATTTACCAAAAATTTATGATGCCCTAGGTTCTTTATGTACATTATATGTAATTCTTACAAAACTCCTTGTAATAATATATATATATATATATTTTAAAACAAGGAGCTAATTGACTTATCTCAACCCACAAAATTAGTAATTACCAGAAACATAATTTGAACTTAAGCCTGTCTAGCTACAAAGCTTATGACCAATACACTTCAGCAATAGTGTTTTTATTTTATACTCCATAAATGAAACTCTCACCATGTACCACCAACATATGCAAATTTATTGATGAATTTATATTATTGCCAACTATATGAAATTGCAGATTTCAACTGTTTTTGACCTATAAACAAGCTGGTTTCATCCTGCTCATGTATATAAAAGTCTGTAGCCAGCTGTCCTGTTAAAAGATGAGAGAAAAATCTATGGTATTTATCTATACTGATTAACCACCTCCTTTATTTATAAATCTCAATGAATAGCCAAGATTAACACTTGAAAAAAAAAACATCATAAATTCTCACCCACTACCAAGAAAGGATAAAACAATGAAACTGGTAAGCTAGAAATTGAAAAGTTTTGAAACTGCCGAAACCGGTGTGGCTCAGTGGATAGAGAGAGTCGGCCTGCGGTCTGAAAGGTTGCAGGTTCAATTCTGGTCAAGGGCACATCCCCAGCAGGGGGTGTACAAGAGGCAGCTGATCAATGATTCGCACTCATTGATGTTTCTAACTCTCTGTCCCTCTCCCTTCCTCTCTGTAAAAAATCAATAAAATATATTTTTTTAAAAAAAGAAAAGTTTTGAACCTGGTCAACAGTGACTTATATCTCACCTTCGAGCTGGTAGGTTAACACCTGCTGCTAGGGTGGATGTGCAGGTTAAAAGGCAGAGAACTCCTGTGGAATAGGCTTCCTCCAAGAGCTTCCTTTCATCACTCGTTAAACCACTATGGTGATAAGCAACTCCTAATGGGATAGTGCGCTTTAAAACAGGACACAAGTTGCCACTGCAGATACTCTTCAAATTCTTAATTATCTCCTGTTTTTCTTTTTCCCTGTGTTTCAGATAGTCCCTAGGAAACAAGATGTTAGAAATATGAACCCTGATCTTACAGTGACAAGATACTTACACTTTTGATTTCAGTCAATGCATGTAAATATTCTTTTAAAAATATTAATTTTAGTGATATAAGTACATAGAATGTTCTTAGAATTTTGATGCTGATTTCACAATTAGGCAGTCTCTTTCAACCTTTTTGTGCAGACCACAGAGCACTGTGAAATTTGAATAAAGCTAAGAAAAATCACACAGATCTATATATTGATATATAAAAGACTAAGGGACTGGAATGACTGTCGCTATGTCGCCAAATGCAGGAGCTGCCCCCCGGTGGTCAGTGTGCTTTCACAGTCAATCTCCCCCCACCGGCCAACCTCCCGTGGCCCCTCCCCGCTGGCTGGCAGACCCCAGGCTGGGATGGGGAACTGGAGGGTGGGTGGCGGTGGACAAGGCCCCTTTCCCAAGGGGGCCGGGGGCTGGCTGCCTCCTTGGGTCCTGTGGCCAACCTCCTGCGCCCCACCCCTCCCCCAGCTCCCAGGCCCTGATTGGCCTACAGCCCACCCGCTGCAGTGGCGGCACGGCAGTGAGAGAGAGGAGCGGAGGAGGTGGGGAACTATGTGGTGGTGGGGTGCCGACAATGGCAGCATTGGCATCTCACATCTGTTCCTTTAGTGCACGGACCTGGCAACAATCGCCTCCTTTCTGGCCTGGCCCTGACTGGCCTGGCTTCAATCAGCACTGATCGCTGGACAGGCCTAGGGAACCCACCCATACACAAATTTAGTGAACTGGGCCTCTAGTATTCACATAAACACAATATTGTGCATTTAATATCAGAGGGTTCATCAACTTACTGAATCTCATTCCTGTACTTCCTATGAATCCATGGATACCAGGTTTAGAGCCCTGCTCTAAATGTTAATTTTTTTTCACTAGATCATATAGCTTTATTGAAAATTATTCATTTTATTTTAAGTCATAAATTCTCTTCTCTTAAGATGAAAACATATATTATTAAATCATTCACATTACATGACTGTCTGGACACTAACATTTTAGAAACTTTAATATTATCTTACAATGTCTGTATGTCTAGAAGCACCTGTAATTTTAAGAAAAGAAAGGAAAACTGTATAGAAACAACTACCAAATGGCTGTAAAGCAACAACTTCTAAATACTAGTAGCAAACACATATCCAAAATATAAATAAAATACACACAGCCCTGTGTTATTTTGGTCTGTTTCATGGAAAGAATAGAAAGCTCTGGCTGGTGTTCACTGAAGAACACCAGAAATTGCAAAAGAAGTTGAGAAATGGAGGCAAAGAGACAAAAGAAAAACAGTGAAGAACTGGGAAGAAAATGGTCAAGAGTCATCAGTGCAAAAATTAGAAGTGACAGCTCAGTAGGGAAGCAGAGGATTTTCTGCTGCTCTTTGCCAGCCAGCGTTCAAGATCCTGAGAAGGATGCATAGGATAAACACTTCTCAAGGAATTAAGTTTTATAAGCAATGAGAATATGGATAATCAGCATATAATTTTAGAGAAGCAAGGTATTATTTATAATTGACCAGAGAAGATATGATTGTATGAAGAATGGTTGTGGGAGAACCTGAGATCTGAGCTGGGTCTTGAAGAACAGGTGTTAGAAAGGTGGCAATAAAGGGGGAGGAAAGTGCATTCTTGGTAGAGGGTAAAGCATTATCAAAAGGCTTAAAAATGGGAAGTTCAAGGCATAAACAAAGAAGAGAAGTAGTCCAGTTTGGATGAACCACAGAGTGAATGAAGAGTAAGAGAAATAAGAATGAAAAAGTAAGTTAAGTCAGATTTTAGCCTGAATTCTAAGCTGAGAAGCACCGAGGTGTCATTGTTAGGAAAATTTATGACCAGAGCTTTAGCTATTGTCAGGAAATAGTGAAAAAGATGAAGGGATTTAGAAGTACAAACTGGTAGTTACAAAACAGTCATGGGGATGTAAAGCATAGTACAGGGAATATAGTTAATAATATTCTAATAACTCTACCCAGCTAGTGTGGCTCGGTGCTTGAGTGTCGACCTATGAAACCAATGGTTCGATTCCTGGTCAGGGCACATGCCTGGGCTGTGGGCTCGATCTCCCATAGGGGATATGCAGGAAGTAGCTGATTGGGGTATCTCTCTCTTTCCCTCTTTCTCTAAAATCAATATAAAACATAATAATAAAAAAAAAAGTTTCCTATTCACTGTGAGCCAGGGTTGAGAATCATTGATAGAAGCCATTGCTTTAGCATTCTCTTACATCTAGCCCAGAAATTTTTCTCTGGCTATCTATCAATATTTCACATTTGTGAATTTCATAGTTAAACTTCCTTCAAAGCCAAGGCCTTTAGAATCAGGTAGAACAACTTAAAACAATGTTCTGCAAGAAGTAATCAGTGCTTGTTGAATAAACAGAATATAGAACATGCAAATTATGACAAAAATAAAACAGAACAAAATATTTTTAAAATATTAACATACTTGCTTAAAAATTTGCATATCATTTCTGCTACATTTTCACAGTTCTTCTTAGTGGGACAAAAAACTAAGCAGGAATTATTGGGAATAACTTCTGTCACCAATGCTACCAGGTGATCAGGATCCATCTTTTTCAGAGCATCAGAATACTGTATAACAAGACATAGCAACAAGGTAGTTAGCAATGATAAAAGCTTTGAAAGGTAAGTAAATCAACCATAATTTGAAGTTCTGATTTAAATTTGATCATTTAAATGAAAAAATGAAACCTATATTATATATCAAAATGTTAAGTCTCACTTTTCTCTTATGGTATTAGGATTTTGTGAGGTATATTTGGTTTTAAATTAAAGAAGTGAAAACACTAATGCTATTAATAACTATTGCATGTTCATCTTCACCAAAGCAGTATGAAACATGTCCAGAGAAACACAGATTGATCCTAATAATAGTCAAAGGACTGTGCAAATAACATATATCTTTAATATTAGTACTACTTTTTTTAATATATAGGATTCAATCATATACTACAGTACATTTTTAGAAATAAAAAAATTATTCATCAAGCAGACACAAGGAACTCAAAGAACATGAAAAATGTAAAATTATTTAAAATCTCCTCACTTGCCAAAACTGGTTTGGCTCAGTGGTAGAGCGTCGGTCTGCGGACTGAAAGGTCCCAGGTTTGATTCCGGTCAAGGGCATGTACATTGGTTGCGGGCACATCCCTGGTAGGGGGTGTGCAAGAGGCAGCTGGTTGATGTTTCTCTCCCATCGACGTTTCTAGCTATCTCTCTCCCTTCCTCTCTGTAAAAAATCAATAAAATATATTTAAAAAAAATAAAAAAATAAAATAAAATCTCCTCACTTTCTTTGACTTTCTGAAAACTATGAATTAAAATTCATAGGATTCTAAAACTGTAGAAAAATCCTTTTCTCCCTTTATTATCCTTCATATATTATAGAACATTAACATAATAGACATTAATATTCTCATACACCAATGTCTGAATTAAATAGCCCACAAATGTTTCTTTTTGCTGTTGCTGATAAATGAATAAACACTTAAGGGAGAGATCTGCAAATTTTCTTGGTTCATGGAATCCCCAGGCTAAGAAAATTAACATTTTATTTACTACTATTGGGGAGCTAGGTCTAAACAACCTAATAAGTATATATTTCCTTACAACTTAGTAGCTGTCTGCATAAATAATATACATCAGTGAAAAAAAAAAAAGTTTAGTCTGTGGGTGTGGCTCAGAGGCTGAACATTGACCCATGCACCAGGAAGTCACAGTTCAACTCCTGATTAGGGCTCATGCCTGGGACGCAGACTCAGTCCTTTCTGGGGGCATGCATGAGGTAGCTGAGCAATGATTCTTTCTCATCATTGATGTTTCTATCCCTTTTTCCCTCTCCCTTCCTATCTGAAGTCAATATATATATATATGTTTGTTTTTTTAAATCTTTATTGTTGAGAGTATTACAAATGTCCCCCTTTTAACCCAATTGATCTCCCCCATTTCGCTCCATCCTCCTAGGCCTTTAGCACCTTATTGTGTCTATGAGTTATGCATATACACATATGAGTTCACTGGTTGATCTCGTCCCCCCAATCCCCACCCTCCCTTGCCTTCCCTCTGAGGTTTTTAAAAAATGTGTATATAAACCTTAAATAACCACTATGGCCCACTAATTGGATGTGTGAACAGCTGGACACTGCAGTATTCTGAAGCTTGGAATTGTAGTTATTACCCTTATTTCCTGTCCCATATTGATTTTCACATGGTTTTTGCTTATAGTAACTGCAAAAAAACCCATCTTCACAAAGATTTGATATTATAGAAAGAAATGTAGTATTATCTAATGTCGAAAATAGAAAATAACTACTTTGAACCAATAGTTTGTATGGTGTCCAAGAGATTTCAAGCATCAGAGGTTTCTCTTAAACATTTAAAATATTCCATGGTCTGTGTTGCCCCAGGACACTGGGCACAAAGTCTGGGAATCTCGGGCTCAGGGGTTATTAACATTACCTTATAATTAAGAAGACGTGAAAAAGTCATGCCATTTTCAGCTTTGCTGTCAACCTCATATATTGCATCATTTATTTTTAGATATTCTTTTAATTCAACCTTAAGTTAAAGGGACATTTGCAATTAATAACATACAAATTCATTTTTTCAGAGTTACAAATTTTGTAAAATATGTTGTAAAAAATACCTATACAAATATTTTAGCTTTTCTATGGTCTGTATGTAAAAACATGCTTTAACTTAAAAGTACTTTCTTTACCATTTCTTTTTTTTAAGTCTCTTTTTGCTCGTAAGTAAATATTGGGATTACGGTAATATCCTTAAAATATACTTTTGAATTGAATAGCTACATATCTAAACAGAAATCAAGCATTTCCTTATTTTTCACATGAAGTACAAATGAGTTAAATGCTCACACTCTATCTTTTATTAAGGAGTCATTTGTATTAATCCTCAAGATCTAACACTTTCTGTTTCATTAGTCATCAGTTTTCAATCTACCACATTATTTTAAAAAATATATATATATTATTGATTTTTTACAGAGAGGAAGAGAGAGGGATGGGAGTTAGAAACATCGATGAGAGAGCATCATCAATCAGCTGCCTCTTGCACACTCCCCACTGGAGATGTGCCCACAATCAAGGAACATGCCCTTGACCGGAATCAAACCTGGGACCCTTCAGTCCGCAGGCCAACGCTCTATCCACTGAGCCAAACCAGTTTCGGCTACCACATTATTTTTAATTTAAGTATTTGTAGACAAAAAGTTTGTAAATATAGTTCATTGCATTTTCAAAAGAATAGCACCTAATTTGACAATTAAGGTAATGAAATATCTTTCAAATTTTTCATATATGATGCAAATATAAAAACTTCAAATTAAAACTTGGCAATTCTTAAAAATTATTTTCTGAGATAGAACATGCACACTAGTACTGCAGACAAATACATTTATTTACTTTCTTCAAACATTTTAGGAATACTATTATTGGGGAGTTTAAATTTAAATCTATGTGAAACCTGCCGAAACAGGTTTGGCTCAGTGGATAGAGCGTCGGCCTGCAGACTGAAAGGTCCCAGGTTCCATTCCGGTCAAAGGCATGTACAGTGGTTGCAGGCATATCCCCAGTAGGGGGTGTGCAGAAGGCAGCTGATCAATGTCTCTCTCTTATCGATGTTTCTAACTCTCTATCCCTCTACCTTCCTCTCTGTAAAAAAAATCAATAATAATAAAAAAATCTATGTGAAACCTATATTTATTTAAAAAGCATTATAACCAAGTGTAAATATTTTAACTTTTAAGATAACTTTTTTAATGTGCTAATAGTTCAAAATATAAATCACTAATATTTTACTGAATTAAAATTTTTTATCTTATAAAATAAATAGTGGACAAATAGAATGTGTCTGGAAATTTTCATTCAATAAATATTCATTATTGAATATTTAGGTCAGTCCCTATTCCAGATGCTGGAGATACAGTTGTGACCCAATCCAAGATCCCTGACCCCACAGAGTTTACATTCTCTATAAATTCTCATTAGCAGATAGCCATGGTGAGTGGAATTATGGCCCTTCACTCCTCTATAGAATTTTTTTATATGGTACATTTGCTACTTTTGTTTCTAAGTAAGATGATACATAACAAATCACTACAGTGCAAACTTCAGGTACATACTGGCCTGAACTGACTGGTGTAATATTCTGCTTGAAGGAATTCTTGCAGGTCTCCAACATTGTTCAAAGTTGCACTCATACCAATAATTTGAGTTGTTTCTAAAAAAACAAAAAATAAAAAAATTTATTATTTATCCTAATATATTAAAAGTCAGGGGATGTCATGACTGAAACAACAGGATGGATGACCAAACAGCAGGCTGTGTGGGGCAACAAGGCCAGCAGGGGGTCAGTGAAGAACGACCAAATGACTGAACAGCAGGCTGCATGGAGCAATCAGGCTGGCAGGGCGGTAGGTGACCAGGCCGGCGGCGAGGGGGTGGGGGTGGGGAGTTTGGGGTAATCAGGCCTGCAGGGGCACAGTTGGGAGCGACCAGGCAGTCAGGGGGGCAGTTGGGGGCAACCAGGCCGGTGCAGAGGGCAGTGAGGAGTTGCCAGGCCAGTGGGGGGGGCAGTTAGGGGCAACCAGGCAGGCAGAGGGGGGCAGTTGGGGGCGACCAGGCTGGCAGGGGGGCAGTAGGAGTGATCAGACTGGTGGTAGTAGGGGGGGGCGGGTTAGGGGTGATCAGGCAGGCAAGCAGGTGAGCAGTTAGGAGCCAGCAGTCCCAGATTGTGAGAGGGATGTCTTGGATTGGAGAGGGTGCAGGTTGGGTTGAGGGGACTCCCCTGCTACCCTTGTGTACAAATTCCATGCTCTGGGCCCCTAATTATATCATAATAGTAATTTTAGCAACATTTTTTGTTTCTAAATTTTTCCTGAGTGATATGGGAAAGGGGTGGGGAAAGGTAAGAAAAACAGGAATATATTATCAAATTATTAATCTGGCAATCAAAGAATGAAACTTCTCCCGTATCAAGAAGTAGGATCTTTATTAAGACTTTTAAACAACAATAATGAGTATAAAAATGAGTGATGACTATCTGGACTGTCATTATGAGGAGCTATCGATATAACAGGTTCCACAGGTTCGGCTATCTACAGATGTCCAGTGTAGGATGCAGGACTGAATGGGGGATGAACTCTTGCCACATGAAAAGTTCTTTATGCGATCTTGCCATCAGATTAACTTTACTTTAAAATAAAGGTGGGGAGAATCCAAGATGGCTGCATAGGTAAACACCTAGCCGCAGCCGCACACAACAATTTCAATAAAATACAACTAAAATATAAAATGGACATTACCCAGAACTACAGGAAAGTCGAATGACTGGAAATTCTACAACGAGAAGCAAGGAGAAAACCAGAAGGAAGAGCGGAGGAGCTGTAAAAGCCTAAGGTACGAAGACACACGACACGCGTGTGGAAAGGACGGAGCCGGAGAGGAGGGAGGCTGAGTGCCTGGCTGGCGTTCCCTAGCAGGAAGGAGATAAAAGCTCTGACTGTGCTGGGCCCCAGTTCCGACTGCTCTGAACCCCAGTTCTAGGCCAGACCCCAGGGACCCAGGCTCAAACAGAGGGAGCTGGGCTGTAAGGCGGAACCCTGGGGGAGCAGCGAAAGAAGGTCCCAGAGGCGCGTACATTGCGCGCAGAGAAGGGACGGCTGGCTGTGCTGCGGGATTGCCCTGGTGGGAAGGAGACAGGGGCTCCAGACTGTTCTGAACGCCACCTTCAACTCCACTTCCAACTGAACTGAACCCCAATCCCGGGCTCAAACGGGGAGAGCTTAGACTGTTTGGTAGCAGGCAAAAATTGAGGGCACCTTTCTCTCAGAGGCGCTTGCAGCGAGTACTGAAGGACCCTGAGACTCAGAAGCCACCTAGGGCAGGGCTGATGGAAGCCAAAGCTGTAGGCTCCACCCTGAAACCCTCCCCCCCTGCCCCCCGCCCCATCAGGGAAGCTGCGAAAATGCCAAGACAAAATAGATCACAAACGAAAGAAATGGAGGACAAAAAGTGACTGGATATAGAGTTCAAAACCATGCTTATAAGGTTTTTCAAGAATTTCCTAGAAAAGATCGATAAGACCTATGAGGATATGAAAAGGGATCAACTAGAATTAATAAGGAATCAACAAGAAATGATAAGGGATCAACAAGAAATAAAGAATACACTGTCTGAAATAAAAAAATATACAGAGTCCTAAAAACAGAATGGAAGATAGCAAGAATCAAGTCAAAGATTTGGAACATAAAGAGCCAGAAGATACTCCTCCGAAGAAGCTAGAAGGCAACAGAATCCAGAAAATTGAAGATAACGTAAGAAACCTCTGGGACAACTTCAAGCGAAGCAACATCAGAATTATGGGGGTCCCAGAAGATGAGAGAGAGCAAGATATAGAAAACATACTGAAAGAAATAGTGACAGAAAACTTCCCCACCTGGTGAAAGAATTAGACTTACAAGTCCAGGAAGCGCATAGAACTCCAAACAAAAGGAATCCAAAGAGGACCACACCGAGACACATCATTATTAAAATTCCAAGAGCAAAAGACAAAGAGAGAATATTAAAAGAAGCAAGAGAAAAGCAGGTAGTTACCTATAAGGGAGCACCCATACGAATGTCAGCTGATTTCTCAACAGAAACCATGCAGGCCAGAAGGGAATGGCAAGAAATATTCAAGGTGATGAATAGTAAGAACCTACAGCCAAAGATAATCTACCCAGCAAAGCTATCACTCAGAATCGAAGGCCAGATAAAGAGCTTCACTAATAAAAAAAAAAAAGCTAAAGGAGTTCATCAACACCAAACCAGAATTTTATGAATTGCTGAAGGGGGTTCTTTCAGAAGAGAAAGTAAATAAAGATAAAAATTATGAACAACAAATACATGACTATCAACAAGCAAATCTAAAAACCAAGGAAATTAAAAAAAAATCTGATGAACAATATTAACTGTTGAATATAATAGAATCAGAGGTATGGAAGGGGAGTGAACTTACAAGTCTTGGGGAAAGGGGGAAAGGGAGATATGGGAAGAGACTGAACATAAACTGCACCTATGGATGAGGACAATGCGGGGTGGGGAAAGGGCAGAGGGTGGGGTGGGAACCTGGTGGAGGAGAGCAATGGGGGGGGGGGAAAGGAACATTTGTAATAATATGAACAATAAAAATTTATTTTAAAAAATTAAAAAAAATAAAGGTGGAGTGAAACTCATAAAGTTGCATGACTTCCTGGGCAGCTCAAAATTGCTGCTTTCCAGAGAGCAGCTACTGAATAAAAAAAAAAAAAAACCCAAAGAAGTCTTAGCAAATGCTTCTTCATTGCTGCTGTGTACTGTCTTGAATTTTATACACAAAGTAGTATCTGAAAGAGGACTGTTGCCCCTTCCTACTCCATTAGGGTGGACTATGAAGCTGAAAAGTGAGCATGTGGCCAAATCAAGGAAGGCTGTGCTAAGAAATTTGGGATTTGTATAGAAATAAAGAAAAGTTATGGAGGACTGTAAATAGTAAAATAAACTAATGGGATTTGCATTTGGGAAATATCATTCTTTTTTTAAAAATATATTTTATTTATTTTATACAGAGAGGAAGGGAGAGAGATAGAGAGTTAGAAACATCAATGAGAGAGAGTCATTGATCAGCTGCCTCTTGCACACCCCCCACTGGGAATATGCCCGCAACCAAGGTACATGCCCTTGACCGGAATCGAACCCGGGACCTTTTAGTCCCCAAGCCGATGCTCTATCCATTGAGCCAAACCGGTCCCGGCTGGGAAATACCATTCTAACTGCACTAGAGAAAATGGATTTGGTGCAGGGGATGGCAATGATCAAGACTAAAGGCAGATGAGAAAGCTTTCTGTGGTAATCTAAATAAGAATGAGGCACTAAGCTAAAGATTTAGTAGTAAAGAAGGAAAGGAGGGAGAGAACTTAAAAATATTTATGAGATGGACCTGATAGGATTTGGTTGCTGACAGAATGTATAAGAGTGAAGATTCTATCAACCGAAGGACTTGTATACATGCATATAAGTACAACCAATGGACACAAAACTCTGGGGAGGGAGGGCATGTAATAGAGGGGGGGAGGCAATGGTATATATATACACAGATAATAATTTAATAAAAAAAAAAGTATATATGCAGAAAAAAAAAAAAAAAAAGAAAGACAGCCAAACTTTGGAAAAAAAAAAAAAAAGAGTGAAGACTCAAGATTCTGGCTTGGCTGGCTGACAAATAGTGGCAGGAAATTCATACTGAAGAATGGGTGTGAAAGAAATGAGTTAGACTTGGACATGGTGAATCTGAGCTGCTCACAGGATATTCAAGTATCATCACCAGCTGGCAGATGATGATATTACTCAGAAGAGAGCCATCAGCTGGAAATACAGAGGGGGAGCTATCACCACACAGGAAGCACTTGAAGTCATGGGTGTTGGAGTGCACTCCAACAGCCAACCTCCCACAGCCGGCCAACCTCCTGCAGCCCAGATTGGCCCAATCACAGGTCAGGCCGAGGGACCCCACCCGTGCACTGGGCCTCTAGTTGATATTTGTCTTTCTATCACCAGTGCCTTATACTTAATATTTAAATATAATGAACCTCTTTAGTTTTTCCTTCTTATGGCATCTCATTCTAAGCATGTCCATTATATTCATTGATGTTACCATAGATTCATCTTAGGCTCTTCTCTAATTCCCTCTTCATACAGTTTCTGCTAATTCTCATCCACACCAGGGGAAGCTCCTGCATTGAGTGACTGCCCCCTGGTGGTCAATGAACATTATAGCAACTGGTTGATCGGTCCTTACAGTCGTTTGGTTGCTTAGGCATATATATACTGGAATATACTGCATTATTGGTAAGAGGATGATACTGAAGGTAGAGGCATCAACAGTTCTTGAGTGCTATGTGCTAAGCATTGCTGAATGCTTTACATGTGCTAACTCATAATCCTCACAACAATCCCATCAGGTCAGTACCATTACTATTCCCATTTTACAATGAAGAAACAGAGAGGTTGAGTCATCTGCTTATGCACACATAGCTAGTAAATGAAAGATAGTGACAGGGATGTCCTCATATATTACTTTCATTTATCTTAACAATTATCTTCATTCATCCATTCTTCCAACAAAAATGTATTCGCTTACCTTAGAAATCACAATCTAAGGCAGAAAGCTTACATATATTACTCTAAGCTACATCGTTTAGCTAGTAATAGAAATAAGTCTTTTATAGACCTCTGGGCAACAAATCAATTAGTAATCCATTTGAAAAAATACTTACTACTAGTGTAGAGGATTTTTGCTAGGGTCATTTCCAATACAGCCCCTCGGCTTCCTTCAGCAATCATGTGCAACTTGAGATTTTTTAAAAAAAGGGAGAAAAGTAAATCTGGATATAATGCCTATATAAAATATGCACATATTATATGAAATAAAGTAATCTTTGCTTTATAACTCTTAAGCATTTTAGATATAGCAACTAGAGTACATATGCATTAATTCACTGATATTTCAAGTTGATGAAGTTTGGGGGCAACATTTTGACACATCTGGAGTTCAAGAACTATTACAAAATTGAGTACACACATACGCCTACACATTCACTCTTCAAGAAACACTTGAAACAAAACTGAGTTTATCAAGCATGAAATGTTTTCATCTGTACTGTCTATATATTAAAACAAATTATTTATTCTAATACAGGTGCTAAGTGAATCCATATAATAACTGTTAGTATAATAAAAATGCTGATAAATTACAAAAGTAGTAACCCACCTCATCTACAACAACCAGACCCAGACTGCTAATTCTTCCAGTTTCAATCAAGGAGTTGACTAGACCATGTCCTTTTTCAATAGTGGCAATGTATAGTGATTTCTTTTCCCTTCTTTTAATTGGAGGAAATCTTCCTTTGCTTCCTGCATATTCTTCAACAAAGAAACCCAGTTCTATGCCAAAGTTTGACAAACCTGAAATCTAGAATATTAGTTAAAATAAACAAATGAAACAGATAAATAAGGACTTTAATTAGTAAGTGCTCATGGGGATTTAAAAAAATCTAAAATTGTGTTTGATACCAATCAATGGGAACAAGGTCACAGATAAGACATAAACACCTAAGAGAAATGTCACAATGAGTGCTCACTTTGGCAGCACTTGCATGAAAACTGGAACAATACAGAGAAGATTAGCATGGCCCCGTGCAAGGATGACATGCAAATTTGTGCAGTGCTCCATATTAAAAAACAACAACATCCCAATTAATGTTGGTATTTTCAAAATGAAGATAAGTTTTAAACTACATAATAAACGAGAAAATCAATTTCAGTTGTCTCCTCTGATGTTAAAAAATCAGAGTAACTTACTTTGATAAAATAATTGAAAGCAAGCTAAATATCAGAACATTTATAATAAATTTTAATTCACCAGTTTAATTTCAGAAAAGATTTTCAGTTTAGTACTCCATAGTGCTTTTAACATTCTAAAAATATTAATTTCTCATCATTAATAAAAATCTTTTTAGTCAATAAAAAGTTACTTAATGTTAAAATAGCATTAGCAAATACCACTTGTTTTTTAAAAAAATCACACCTTTTCTTGGACAATTGCCACATATGGTAGAATCATTAAAACATCTTTGCGCCGGCAAAGCAGTTCTTGTAGCATTAAAATCTCAGCCACGAGGGTTTTTCCACCACTAGTTGGCAAGGAATATATTAAATTTTTTCTTTCTTGCACAGAATTCAAGGTTAAGCAAGTATGTTGCCATTCTGTGGAATTAAAACAAAAGTATTATTTTCCTTGTCTCAATCTTGGAAAACTTTCTAAGAAAATATCACATCTGACATTTTGTAGCAATTTTCTTACAATAAATGTAACTATACATTAATGTTAAATGTCAAAAATCCCCAATGTGTGATGTGCACAGCCAGTGAGTCTAATTCTAATTCAGGCCTGGTCAGTCGGATGAGCATCTAGCTCTCCTACTCACCGGCTGCAAACTTAAGTCTAAGATCTCAGCATGGCAGGCAGTGTCTGCTGGACAAGAGGTATCATCTGGGACATCAGAGGACAGTACATGATTTGTGTGAATTCTAAGGCTTTCCTCCTTTTCTGCAAGGAGACTGTGTAAGTTTCCCTTTTTCACTCATCCAAACACCATCTTAGAGAAATAGGAGAAGGAAAAAAATGTATGAGGCTTTGTACAAACCAAGGACTATTTAGCTTTCATGGGAAGCTGAACTTGAAATGGCCTGAATGTCAGTTTAAACTGGTAGTTTAAGCTATAAAAGATGGATTAGTAATTGGCACATCTAATGTTTCCACCAAGTTAGCAAGGTAGCATTCATGAAAAGTGTCATGTCAGATTTAAAACATGGTGTGGAAACTAGTATAACTACTTTGTAGGATAATTTAACAATGTGGATCATCAGAAGTTTTCAGATGGTGCACAAGTGTTTTATCGCTAGAAAAATGGGAAAAGATATTCAAAACATTTCACGGTAGGGAGAAATGCAAATGATTAATAAATACATAAAAAGATATTTAACTGTTACCTACTGGATTTCGCAAAAATAAATAAAAGGGCTACTAATATAAAATCCAGCTGAGCAAAGTATATATGGTTTATGAAAGCATAAATTACTACAATATTTTTGGGGAAAGCAATTTAGCAGTATCAAAAATAAAATTGCATGTTGTTTTTGATCTATTGTAGTAGTATTACTAGTAATACTTCTAGAACTCTACACCCATAAAAATAAATAGGTATATAAAGATTATGTGCAGGGTTCTCATCATGGTATTGTTTATATATAACAAAAAAGAAAAGACATTGGGGGGCAAAGGTTGAATGAATTTTGCACAATTATATGATGTAATTCTTTGCATCTTGAAAATGAGGGAATAGATGGTTAAATTTAAAAATGATAAATAGAATATATTACAAAGGTATTAAAATAGTTATATATAAATGGCAATTACAGAAGACTTATTGTGCATTTTTGGTGATACTCAAATATTTGCAAATAACTGTACTTTTTTTAACTTTAAAATATTTCAGGAAAAAAGATTCACAATTTTTAAAAAGTCCTTAAATTGAATACTTAAAAATGGTTTTTTTTAAAGTCAGACTGGAATTACCCATTAGTTACCAATCTGCAGATGTTTGTGTGCGATAATACAACTTGACCATAGCTACATTTTATCCAACTCAGATTTTTAAAGTATAAAATGACCAAAATAACAAATATTTAGGAATATTCTTTATCTTCAAACATTATAAAAGTAAATTATAGCCCTGGCCCAGTGGCTCAGTTGGTTGGAGCTTGTTCCCTACACCAAAAGGTTGTGATCTGATTCCTAGTCAGAACCCAGATTGCAGGTTCCATCCCTGGTCAGGTGTCTTCAGGAGGCAACGGGTAAATATTTCTCTCTCCCCCTCTCTCTCAATTAAAAAATATATCCTCAGATGATATTTAAAATTTTAAAAAGTTTAAAATAAATTATACTTACTTCTCAATATTTATGCAAAAATACAACAAGCAAATAATTCCATAATAAAAAAGCAACCACTACACTATGGGATGTGCAAAAGTAGGTTGTTTTAAATGCACAAAACAGATTATTCTTGCATTATCATTTATAAATTATTGTATTACTAGAGGACTGGAGCACAAAAATGATGCAGTTGGGGGCTGGATGTCCCTCAGCCCGGCCTGTGCCCTCTGTCTGGGAGCCGTCGGGGGATGTCCAAATGGTGGCTTAGGCCCGCTCCCCATGTCAATTAGACATCCTTAGCGCTGCCATGGAGGCAGGAGAGGTTCCTGCCACCAACACCATTGCATTCAATAGCTGTGAGCCCGATTTCTGAGTGGCACGGCCCCTGTGGGAGTGCACTGACCACCAGAGGTCAGCTCCTGCATTGACTGTCTGCCTCCCTGGTGTTCAGTGCGCATCAAAGTGACCTGTCATTCCACTGTTCAGTCGGTTTGTATATTTGCTTTTATTATATAGGATTTGTATTGCAACTGTAAACATATATTTTGCCAGCCCCTGTATAAAGTCGAGGTTCTCTAGCTCAGTGGTTCTCAAACTTTAGGCACATCAGAATACCCAGGAGGGCTTATTAAAGCAGACTGACAGGCTTACCCCCAGAGGTTCTGATTCAGGAGGTCAATCTGGGTCCTGAATGTACATTTCAAGTTTATAGGTAATGCTGATGCTGAGGTCTAAGAACTCCACTTTGAGAATCACTGCTTTAGCACGCATAATTATTTTTTAAATTGGTCATTCATTAAGCTAAGTTTACAAGTAAGAAGATTTAAAAAGTTATTTACCAAAGTTCATACTTTAAAACTACTAATATAATTACTGATTATCATTATTAAAGTCTAATTTGGCATGTCCTTCATACAGAATATAACCTGTAAAACAATTACTTTTATTATCATCATCATCATCATCCCTTTTTAATAGATCAGAAACTAAGGCTCAGCATACTAAACTTGTTTAAGTGACAGGGCCGGAATAAATAGGCCAACAACACCCAGCAGTTAAGAACCTACCAGGATGTACCAGGTATAGTGCTAGTTATATAAGAAAAAGGTGAATTAGCCTAAACTGGTTTGGCTCAGTGGATAGAGCATAAGCCTGTGAACTGAAAGGTCCCGGGTTCGATTCTAGTCGACATGTACCTTGGTTGCGGGGTGTGTAAGAGGCAGCTGATAATTCTCTCATCTATGTTTCTAACTCTCTATCCCTCTCTCTTCCTCTCTATTAAAAAAATCAATAGAATGTGTTTTTTTAAAAAAAAAGAAAAATGTGAATTAGATAGAGCCCTGTGCTCAGGGTATTCATTCTGGTAGGAGATGCAGTTTAAACAAACGACAAGGTGCTAGGAGAAAAACAAAGGAAAGTTAATATACCCTTTAAGAGCAATACACACCATTAGCTCTTAACTACAAATCTCACAATTTAGGATTTATTATATTAGACTTTTTTCCTTGTAGTCCTATTTCTTGAATCTGTCTTCTTCCCGAGAAACCATGTTTTAATATTGTTCTTAAGGCACTAACATAGAAATTTCATAAATACTTATGTAGTGATTGGTTGATAGGCTAATCTTCCAGAATGGCAGCAACTATGCCTTCTTTGTCTAAAATAACACATATCTGAAAGATAGGCAAGAATCTAGGATTTTTTAAAAACATTACATGAGACATTAATATTCTTTGCACTAAAGTCTTTTCAGCCATCTTTAAAGATGTTTAGTTTTGCAGAAACTGGTTTGGCTAAGTGGATAGAGTGTTGGCCTGTGGACTGGAGGGTCCAGAGTTTGATTCTGGTCAAGGGCATGTACCTTGGTTGCAGGCACGTTCTCAGTGGAGGGGTGTGCGAGGGGCAGCTGATTGATGATTCTCTCTCATCAATGTTTCTATCCCTCTCTTCCTCTCTGTAAAAAATCAATAAAATAGATTTTTTAAAAAGATGTTTAGTTTTAATCAGTGGTATTACTACTACTACCTTTCACTCAAGCCATCTCAGTATTCAAAGAAATTCAAGCTTTGGTATAGAAGATTGAGCCAGCCAAGGAAGAACCAGCTAAGAAAAATGAGGAGCAGCTGGACAGTTAGAAAACCAAAACAAAACAGGAGTGGGATGTCAAGAAATCAAGAAAGAAGTATTTCAAAAAGGATCTGGTCAACTATCAGGCAAGCTACTAAGAAGTCAGTATTATTGGGTTTAGACAACTAATCATTATATCTTAAGTGAGCACAAAGAACTCAGAGTTGGATTGGGTTGGGAATTATTTGAGGCGAAGAAAGGGAGACAGCAAGGATAATAAGTTTGAGAAGTGTGACCACAAAGGGAAGGAAAGAAGAAAGAGGATCAGCAGCAGCACAATTGGGATAGGTTGAGAGGATTGACACTTTGATTTGTTTTTAAGATGCAATGTATGACCACGGAAGGATATCCTTTCTATTCATTTGCACTAATACTATGGTAATGGTGGCAAAATTTTTTTCATTCCAGCAAAATGCATTACCATATAATTTTTCAATTCCTTTTAACTGAACATAAAGGTCTCTCACTTTGCTGGGTAATGAATAAAAAGGACCAACATCATCTGATGATGACTCAATTGTTTTCTTAGCAACATTAATTTCTTCAGACAGGTGAGTCTCTTTGAGCTGTTTAGTCCTAGAAAATATTGGTATTTGGGCCTTTGCATTGACAGTCATGGCACTTTTTAGATGATCTTTAAGACTTTTTCTCCTATTCACATCTGAACTAGTTCTGTCTTTAGAAGAGAATTCATCATTTTGCTGGGGTTGCTCTATACTATTTTGGGGCAATTCTTCATTTATAGTTTTGTGAGAGGATGAGTTCCAATCCCGCTCTTTAGTAGACTGATTGCCGAATTCATTTGAAGAGTTCTGCAAATTTTCAAAGTATAAAACCTGTGAAGAAGGCAATTCATACAAAAGATCAGCTCCAGGTTTAATAGAGACATCTTCATGGCCACTCTGTTTTTTTGTGTGCTCATCTGTTTTTAATTCAGTAAAGCTGCCTATAGTAGTGATGCTGAGCTGGTTATTTCTGATGTTTTCTGAACAAAGATCTTCGGTGGCAAGGTCTGTATCATGCTTCCTATTTTCAGGAAGTTGCATATATTTTTGTTCCAGGTCATCAACTTGAGCTATAAGAGAATTTTCAGCAAAGCTATCATAGTCACCAAACATGTCCTCTTCACTATCATTATTCTGGAAAGAAAACAAAAATATTTATGGTCAGTTCTAGCTTTAATAAAAGTTCCAGCCTAGGGCTAAACCAAGTATCTAATGGTCACATACAGGTCACAGACTAAATGTAAATCACCCTGTGAAATATATATTATCATCCCATTTTACAGATTGTGACATGGAGGCCTAGAGGGTAAGCAACTTGCCTAACCTACACTCTTGGTGCATAATGATGCGGGGATCCTAATTCTTAAGCCAACATGAAATCCTTCAAGTAGTAGGTAGCAAGGCTGGTAGACATCTATTGGGATGTCATTTGACTGGAAGTCCTGATACTGCACTACCCTGCCCTCCCAGACTCTAATCAAGAGAGTGGCCTTTAACAAAATCATGCTTGTATTCCTGGACACCCCAAGACTGTCCCTAGAAATCTGGAATTGAGAGGGAGCGTCTGCACACTGACTTACAGTGGCCTACTGAACAGAAGAGGTGTCAATACAGTGTAGTGATTAAAAACAGAGGACTCGGAGCCAGAAGTGTCATTTCTTAACTTCTTGGGGCCTGACTTCAGCTGAAAATGTAACTAGCTTAAGAAAGTACCCAGCATATAATTCGTCTGCTCTTCATAATTGGTAGATTTTATTGGACCAGCAGAAGCAGCAGTAACTTTGAAGTCTAACTCTGCGTCTGTCAAGCCACTTATCTGCTGCGTGAACAACTTTTGTGTGTCCAGGGTCTGCGTTTCACATCTACATAAAAACGGGGATAAGGCAATACCTCACAAGTGAGAATTAACAATAACAGAACTGAGGTAAGCACAGGAAGACTAGTGGACAACTAGTCGATTGCTTGCACCTGACAAGGACGCTGCCAATATTTCAAAGTTCCCAATCCCATGCCTTCTGTAGCCGATCCCCCACTCCTCTCAGGGGGTGTGCGCAGCAGGAGACCTGGGCCCCTAAGGAGGGACACAGGTCGAGGAACTAGGGGGGAATCTGATGGGGCTGTACCTCGGCCGGCGGTACGCCCACAGCTTTCCGTCGAGGGCTTCCAGCTGCCATCTCCTCTTCCTCCTCCTCCTCCTCCTTCTGGTCATCGCTCGGCTTGAGCTCGTCCGCGGTGGGGGCGGCAAAAAGGATTTCTAGGCTCGGCCGGTTCCTTTTGCGGACAGACACCCGCCGGCGGATGCGGGAAGTGCCCTCATCCATGGCAGGGGCCGCGGGCTCCGCCCGAGGGACGTCCCCGGGGACCCAGTCGCCAAGCCCCGGAGGAGGGGTGAACGGAGGACAGAGCGGCAGTAGCGACAGAGGCCGAGGACACTCGCCTCTCCCTCCATCCACCTTTGGTAAAGACCACAGGTGAGTTACTCTCTGTCCGGAAGTGGAGGCACAAGCGTGGCAGCTCAACTTCCGGTTGTCCTATGGTAGGTGTCGCGGGCTGGCGGCGCGGCCCGTTTGGGCGCGTAAAGGTTCTGCGCAGACGCAGTGAACACCGGTCTCCGGCCCGGCGTTAGCTCGCGGAACCTTTGGCGCGAGTCCTCGGGCTACGCCGGGAGCGCCGGAAGGGACTCGTGCGGACTGCTTCGGAGGAGGAGGGGAAGAGAGGACCGCGGGACCATGGCTTCTGTGGTTGCTGTTTGCAGTGGGCCGGGGAGGAGAAAGGTTGTGAGCTTCCTAACGGCGGCTGTCAGCTGTCGAGCGGGTAAAGTCTCTCATCTTCTGCTTCGCGGTAGCGCTGCAGCCGCCGCCCCAGCCCTCGTTGGGTCTGTGCCGTTTTCCGGGCGATGGACGTTTCTCCTAAGTTAAGGTGACCAGACGTCCCGATTTTTAACAAGTTGCCCCGCGTCCCGCGGCGTTTTAAAAAAGTCCCGGTTTTTGAACAAAATCGGTACTTTTTTAAAACGCCGCGGGACACATTGTTAAAAATCGGGACGTCTGGCCACCTTTTCCTAAGTGGGAATCTGTAATGGCCCATGACTAGGATGTTAAAGTTGAAAGGGACGTGAGGTGCCTTCCAGTACACTTTATTTTATTTTTTTAACATACGAGGAGACTAATGGGTGATTATTAAAGAGACAGGGACTGCGATTATGCCTGAGACCTCGGGGTACACTTGGTAAGGAAGGGACATCTCCAGTCACCTGGCAGCAAATTCCAGATGTCTGAAGTCCCAACTCAGGGCGAAATTGTGAGAGGCCCTCGAATCTACAGTTTTTGTACTTGCATCTTTTATGTGCTTCTCTATCAATAAATTATATGTAAGGGGTCTGTTACACATTTTTCCTCTGTTGCTTCTTCCCCAAGTATTTGCATTAAAAATCTGTTTCTAACCGTGGGGTGAAGGGAAAACAAATATTGCAGAGAGCAGATGAGAGATTGTGTGGCTGGAGAAAGGGTATATATACCCTTTTTCCAAAGCCCTGGAAGGCACATCCATATTAAGTCTCACTCTGCTTCAAATCTAAAGGTTTTTGTCCAATCATTGTGAGTATAATGAGTAGAAAACCTACCTTTTAATTCAGGTGTCCCTTGATCTTATGTCCCTTGACTCATCTCGCCCCCATAAAGCAATATAAACTTAGCTCCTCAGCTAACAAAAAGAATTGGTTTGTTGCTGTTTCTGTTTACTTGCAGTGCTGTGGAGAAGTTGTTCACAGTATAAACAGGTAGCCAGCAATGAGGACCTGGTAAGAATTGTTTTCTTCCCTTTTTTAAGGCATTTGCAAATATGACCAAATTCTTATATTTTAGCTTTTCAAATAGAGTTCAACAGGGGGATAATACAATCAATAATCATTAGTCTGAGTTTGAGAATTATAATTCATTGATGAGTAGTCACTTGAGTTTGGAAGAGAATGCCTAGATTTCTAGAAAGAAGCATGGCTTCTGCCCTGGTTGATATGGCTCAGTTGGTTGGAGCATAGTCCTGTACACCAAAAGGTGGTGGGTTCGATTCCCCGCAGGGCACATACCCAGGTTGTGGTTTCTAGCCTCAGTCTGGGCACATGTGGGAGGAAACTGATGATCATCGATCATCTCTTTCTCCCTTCCTCTCTCTAAAAATCAATAAAATTAAAAAAAAAATTATAGCTTCTGTAATACCATATTTTTTCTTCCTAGATCTTAAATTTAAGTATATGTGCTTTGGGAATTTAAAAAGGTTGTTTGGGTGGATGGAATAATTGCATATAATCTAACAAAGGCATTATATACAAAGCTTGCTTACAGGTTGGCTCTCTTCCCCATTTCAAATTCGATTTTACAATTGTCCCATTATCAATTTTGGAGGGCGGTTGTCTTAATAAATGAGAGATCAAAATTAAAGTTTCATACGAGGATATTAAATGTAATTTCTTCTATTCTGTAGATGTATTTTTTATAGGATTTAAGTTCTAGGGTTAGACTTGGCAGTATAGGTTTTCTTCCTACTTGCAAAGATAATTTGATACTAATCAGACCATACAAAGCACATAGTACAGTGTAGGGAAGGAATATAGTCAGTCATTACATGTGAGCTGAATGTAAATTGGTTTAAGAACATTTGAGGACTTGGAAAAAACAAAGAACTCTAGTCCTCCTGAGCATCTATCGGAATCATTCGATTCATAAACTATCTCAAGAGAGTGAAGGAAATTACTAGAGCTCCTTTTTAGGTTATAAACCCCACCTAGACACTAATTAAAGCTATGGGTTTTCTCAGAAAAAGCACGCTTGCCCGGCTGATGTGGGTCAGTGGTTTGAGTGTGGACCTGTGAACCAGGAGATCACGGTTCAGGGCATGATCGGGTGGCAGTCTCCATCCCTAGTAGGGGAAGCAGCTATCAGTGATTCTCTACCATCATTAATGTATCTGTCCCTCCCTCCCTCTCTAAAATCAAGAATTTTAAAAAATCTACATATTTAAAAAACAAACAAAAAGGCACACAGTCCACTCATTTGAAATTTTACATACAACTACAGGAGTTTGGGGACTTTCAAGCCATTTCTAGATTAAGAATCTCTAGACTGGAGTTGCTTATACTCATGTAGGAGGGAGGCATTGTGACAGAAGAATTATAGTTAGTGAAGAAAGGAAATCCAAAGGCGGACACAAATTTATAAAGCAGTCTGGAGCCATAAAATGGTAGTCAAAGGACCTTATATTAGAGTAAGCTATGGGGCATTGTTTTTTTTAAAACAACAATAATGATAAAACATCTGATAAATATGGGGATGGATTTAGACATTACATATGACACCTATTGTGCTATTAGATTTTCTTAATTTAAATCTTAAGAATTTTTAGTCACTTGGGCAGAACATCTGAGGAGAGAATTACTAAGTACAGAATTAATTTTGTTTCTCCCATAAGCCTCTTTTTCTCCAAAGACTGTATTTTATCCTAGAATCCATGACTTAACTCCTCCTTAACCAAACTAAGCCAAAATAAAACATTTGTACAAACTATGGAAAAGCATACTGAAATCTTTATAATGGTGAATCCTTTTCAGAAGTACTTGTTTTTTCTTTTACAAGCCAACATGTTGTATTCCTCTTCACAGTAAGAAAGGCAGAACTAATTCTTTGGAGAGATTTAAATGTGGTAGCCTTAAGGTTTAGTTTTTTAGATTCAAAATTAATGCATTAAATTTCTTAAGATTCTTTTCCCTTTTTCCTAGCCTGTTCCAATAGAAAATCCTTATAAGGAGCCTCTTAAAAAGTGTGTCTTGTGTGGAAAACGTGTAGATTATAAGAATGTACAGGTGAGATGTTTGTACTTCACTATATTTGACTCTAGGGTTTTGCTTTTTTATTACTCCTAACTAAAGGAAATCAACTCAGTTTTATAACAGGCTTTATGGAGGGGCAACTGTTTTAGCAACATCATTATCCCAAATCTGGTTATATTTCTATGTATAAAGCATCTCTATTTTATTCTAATAATAGCTCACAATGGCAGTAATTCTCAGTTGATGGAGGTGAATAGTTTGGAAGAAGTTGATCTCTCTACCTCACCACCAAAATCACTGTTTCAAATACAACTTTATCTGTTTTATAGCTCTGAGCAAGTTAAGTGGCAAATCTGGGGTAGAGATTGATGTTGGAGTTAAGTATACTCACAATAATATAAAGTGATAGCTTCCTTTTATGGAGAAAAACCAAGAAAAATTTTAAATGTACATATTAGGAAAGGGGACATATGTAATACTTTCAACAATAAAGAATTATTAAAAAAAAAACAAAAAAAAAACAACAACTAGAGGTCCGGGGTATGAAATTCATGCAAGGGGGAGAGGGGTGTGGGGAGGTCCCCTCAGTTCAGCCTGGACCCTCTCCAATCCGGGACCCCTGGGGAGATGTCCCTGGGATTGGGCCCAAACTGGCAGTTGGACATCCCACTCACAATCTGGGACTACTGGCTCCTAACTGCTTACCTGCCTACCTGCCTGATTACCCCTAACTCCCCCCCCTTCTCCCCGACTGCCTGATCACCCCTAACCGCCTCTGCCTTCCAGCCGGGTCACCCCCAACTGCCCCCTCTCCTGGCCTGGTCACCCCTCACTGTCCCGCTCTGCTGGCCTGATTGCCCCTCACTGCCCCCCCTGCTGGCCTGATCGCCCCTGCCCCTCACTGCCCCCCCTGCTGGCCTGATCACCTCTCACTGATCCCCCCTGCAGGCCTGGTCGCCCCATGCAACTGCTGTTCAGTTGTTACTGTGAGGGTGTTGTGATCAATTTGCATATTACCCCTTTATTAGTATAGATAACAGTCATAACAATAAAAAAATAAAAATAAATACAACATGAGGATTATGCCCAAAACACTGCCTGGCACTTGGAAAGTGCTAAAGAATTTAAATTTATGAAACAAAATTATACAAATGGCCTGATGTACCTATATCTCTTAAAGACCTCAACATAGCCGAAACTGGTTTGGCTCAGTGGTACAGCATCGGTCTGCGGACTGAAAGGTCCCGGGTTCGATTCCGGTCAAGGGCATGTACGTTGGTTGCGGGCACATCCCTGGTGGGGGGTGTGCAGGAGGTGGCTATTCGATGTTTCTCTCTTTTTTTTTTTTTAATATATTTTATTGATTTTGTACAGAGAGGAAGGGAGAGAGATAGTTAGAAACATCGATGAGAGAGAGTCATCGATCAGCTGCCTCTTGCACACCCCCTACTGGGGATATGCCCGCAACCAAGGTACATGCCCTTGACCGGAATCGAACCCGGGACCCTTCAGTCCCCAAGCCGACGCTCTATCTATCCATTGAGCCAAACCGGTTTCGGCTCGATGTTTCTCTTATTGACGTTTCTGGCTCTCTATCTCTTTCCCTTCCTCTCTGTAAAAAATCAATAAAATATATTAAACACACACACACACACACAAAACCCAACAAACCTCAATATAGTCTGGTATTATGTTACAGTCTATCATGATAGGTGAAATATTTAGTATTTCATTGTACACAGGAGTAGTTTAGAAAAGGATCTGTATAAACAAGAAAACACCTTTAGCCCTAGCTGATGTGGTTCACTTGGTTGAGCATTATTCCATGCACCAAAGAGTACTGGTTTAATTCCCAGCTAGGGCACATGTTTGCTTGTATTCTTGATACCCAGTAGGAGGCATGCAGGAGCCATTCATGGGTGTTTCTCTCTCACATTGATATTTCTCTCTTCCTTTAAAATTAATAAAAAACATTTAAAAAAGAAAACAGGTTTAGCGATGAAACAATATGCTCATTAATTTGTTGTATAGACATTTTGAACAGACTCGGTAAGAGATGTTAACTTTAGTTATTTAAAAAGATTATCTGTCAATAGGAGACATAGTATTTTTCATATTTTATGAAGTTTGAGATTTATTAATAAACCTTTACATTACTTGAAGGTAACATGAGGTATGCTTTTTGAAATTTACACAATCAAGAATGAATAATACATGTACTAATATAAATTTTTTCTTCCTCTCCAAATAAAACTCTAACAGCTTTTGTCCCAGTTTATTTCTCCATTTACTGGATGCATTCATGGAAGGCACATAACAGGTATTTTGTTTTTTCTTATAGCAACTTACAAATCTTCTTTTGTTATTTAAGAGAACTGGCAAATGTTTATTTTCAAATAGTATATAAATCACTATTAGAAAGCTTAGTATTTAAGAAAGCTTTGTCCAAAAAGTACTATTTTATATGTCTTATACTAGAGGTAGCCATAACCTGACATGGAGAAAATTTGGGTTTAAAAAATTGGGTTGGTATTTTGGAGTATTCTATAATCGCTCCTAGATTATTATTTAAACAAAGGCCTATTTCTCATAGGCCAAATTGGATCTGTCATTTATTTTTGTAAATAGCTTAATTTACGTAATGTCTATGGCTGGCTGCTTTGTGTACTAAGAGTAGAGTTGAGGAGTTACAACAGAGACTGTACAGCCTGCAAAGTTTAAGATATTTACTGTCGGGTTCTTTACAGGTTTTCCCATCCTCCCTTGACTTAATTGTTATGCATTTTGAATATTGGTATTTTTTTTATGAATAAGCATTTTTTTTTTTTTTTAAACAGGTCTTTGTGGGAAGAAACAAAAAGAAATCACAAAAGCTATTAAGAGAGCACAAATAATGGGTAAGAGAATCTGAAAAATTATTTGGGCTTATCTATTTTGGCTGTTCTCTTTTGTGAAGAACTTAATTGTCTCTTTACAGGATTTATGCCAGTTACATACAAGGATCCTGCATACCTCAAAGACCCTAAAATTTGTAACATCAAATATCGGGAGTAAATTATATAAAGTTATTATCAATAAATTTATTCTAAAATAAATGGTTGTTGACTCAAACTATAAGATTTAATAACCTTTAGAAAATTAGTAGGCTAAAATAAATCTTATCAAACTCTTAAATGGAAATTTTATGAAGAAAAAGTGTTTCAGAAGTGAGGCGTTCCATACCAGTGAGTGTTCACTAAATAAAACCAGATTATTTGAAGTGTTAACACTCATTACATTTCCATACACATGAATAAAAATATTGGTACTATAACACTGTCATTTATATCTGGCCCACAAATAGCTTGTGCAATAAATAGACTGCTGAAAATGGGATATTAAATATAGAAGAGATGACTTGTATTTGGATTTTACTTTAGATTCAGATAATGTCTTGTAGGTGGCATTTTAGAAATATGGGTACAGAAAAGTGGAATGCTTGTATAATGTACAAATCCCTCATGACAGACTGTGGACATGAAATTGCTCAGGAGGGTTATCTAACTAGCAAATATAGGTATACTGGGCTAGGACAGTGGATCTTCTCTTTGTAGATACGTTTCATTGGATGGATAGTGGTGATGTCACAGGACCTAACATTTATTTCTGGGCTAGTCTATCCTGAAATTGGTAGTCTCCTTTAAATAAACTGATCCATAAGTGATATATTGTGTCGTTATTGCCAGAAGTTGGAGAGAAATTGGAATTTTTCCTATATTCTTTTTCCCCCCTTTTCACTAAATACGTTAAAAGTTGGGTCATCAAATTCAATTTTGGAAGTTCAGCTGTGTACTAATTAATGACCTGTGCAAACTTCTCTGGTGACAGTTCAGTAGTGTTGTGCAACAGTATAAGCTAAATACATTTTAGCAAATTGAACTTTCCATGAAGGCACATTTAAACTTTAGTCTGAGTAAATATGTAGGATCTTTGAAAAATCTCAAGCTGTTATCTAAAGAAGATATTTGCATGTATGTTGGCTATTTGTTGCCTCTACCATTCCTACGCTTGCCTGTGCAACCAGTTTTGTTCATATATTGGTTACATTTAGACATTGTCAATGTTCTGTATGCTCTAATGTTTGTGATTATTTTTAAATAGGCTTCAGACTGACAATCTGTTTCCTTCCTGCCCTCCACAACACCAAGGAGTTCTTATGTAACCAGTAAAACAATCCTAAAAGAAACTCATTATTTGCAAAATCATTCCTAGTATTATGTGGGCTTCCTAAGCACCCCATGATAACTCATGCATGTTAACACATGGATGAAAGATGATAATTTTTTATATTGGCTATGAATTTGCTCAATTAGGAAATAACATGGAAAAGCAATGGCCAAAGTGTGTGCTCAGCATTTCATACAGTGAGTGAAACATAAGGCTTCTTGAGATGTGTATACTTCATGGAAAATTCTCACAATTATGAAACAGACAAATATAAAAAAGCATAGCAAAAGCTCTCTTAGCCAGCCTCCACTTAACCAATTCATTAGATTAAATTGGGTTAAACTAAAAATTCTTCCTAAAAATCTTACTGAAGCCCATGACTCTCCTACCTGTTGAGTTCTACATTGCCAAGAGTCAGCTCTTTTGTCTTTATATCTGTAAGTTGATTTGTAATTGTAGTGATGGAAAATGAGCATTAAAAAGAAAGTTACTCCTGCAATAAAAACTAAGTAAATGCTTTGGAAGGTCAATAGAAATAGTTTCAAAAAATAGTTGTCAGCCGAAACCAGTTTGGCTCAGTGGTAGAGCGTTGGTCTGCGGACTGGAAGGTCCCAGGTTCGATTCCGGTCAAGGGCATGTACATTGGTTGCGGGCACATCCCCGGTCGGGGGTGTGCAAGAGGCAGCTGGTCAATGTTTCTCTCTCATGGACGTTTCTAGCTCTCTATCTCCCTCCCTTCCTCTCTGTAAAAAATCAATAAAATGTATTTAAAAAAAAAATAGTTGTCAAATTAGGTGTGGTTAGGTTTTTGGTTTTTTTTTTAATGTATTACTGCAAATAGCCAGGCACAGCTGATCAAAAATCTTTTGGCCTAAAAGGATCAAAATGTAGGAGACCTTGGATAGTCACCAGAATCCTTCATTTTCTCAATCTCCTCATCTGTTTCTAGGCTGCTTGTGGATGATTTTTCTTGGTTATCAGTTTCTGTTTTAGATGGCTGGCTTTGTATCTCCAACAGCCGTAACTTCTTGAATTGCCTTCTGTCATCTGTATCTAACGCTTTTCGCTTCATCTCTTGCCGTGCAATGCTAGCTGGACTAGCTTCAGAAATGTCAGTGTATTCTACCATTAAGGTCAGGTTGTCTACCACACTGACTTGGTGATTGGTATTACAGCTACTTTTAGAGAGATGCCTATTTTTCAAGGAGATAACACATGAGTGAAGAAATTCACAATCTGGAAAAAAGGTCCGTAAAGCTTGACAAAGAATAATGTTCTCCTGAGGGTCTTTTTGGACATTCTTCTCTCCTAAAACAAAATAAAATAACAGTTCAACATACAATAGTTATTCTACAAAACATATAGCTATCTATTTGTTAGTAAAGTTGAGTCAGAAATACTAACAATTTTGTCTAAACTAAGAAAAATGACTTGCATAATCCCAAACTCCAACTCATGCTATAATATTCTAAGAGAATATTATAATTAAATTATTTAATATCAAAAGTAGATTATATTTTTAATAGTACCATGTTCTTTGCTCAGTGGGATTTAAGAGTATTAATAAAACAATTATTTTTAATCTTAAGATGGGCAAAGTCATCAGTGCAGCTGGCTCATCCATAATTCAAATCAGAATTTTTTTTAGGCATAGAAAGAGGTGGTGTGCGAACTTTTTACTCACCGGCTGCTTGAATCTGTGCTTGTTTTCTTTTTTTAATTTCTTGTTTTAATCTGTTTACATCCTTTAGTAGTTTTTCTACTGCTTCCTCACTCTCTTCTACTTGTTTGCATACACTCTGCAAAATAAAATAATGCAAGGGTATGGATAAAATTCCCAGTCTGGTTTCATAAAAACCTTCATGGTACATAATATCAAGTATTATTTGCTTTTATAAAAACTTTAATTTTGCTATTTTTTGGAGGAACTCAACAATAAGCACTTGTATGGTACTTTATAGATAGCAAGTTTTACAGATGTATTAACTTCCCATTTATACACTAGCTTTATCCTAGTTATTTCTTGATAATGCACTGAAATAAAAAACAAAAATATTTAACTCACCTTGAAACGAAATATATTGCACTATTTTGAGAGGTGCATAATTACTGTAAACGTTTAATATTAAAGAAAAGTGATTGCATTTTGCTGTTATAAAAAAGTTTTCATACAGGAACTTCATAATTCCTATAAAAGAAACTACTTTTTTATTCTTAACTGTTGACACTATTACAGATGGCCCCCATTTTCCTCCTCTTTGTCCACCTCCACCCAGTCCTCTACCTCCCCAATAGTACAAAAAAAAAAAAAAAAAAAAGAGACAAGCCCCTGCCTTTCCCTCCCCTCTCTTCTTCCCCCACAGGCATGCATCTCCTAAATTCTAAGGGTTCCCATAAGACTTGCAAGTAGGAGAGCAATGGGCAGTAGCCTTTATTCCAAGCTAATCCCTTGAACCTGTTCCCAAGGTCCCCTTTTCTCAGACTCTCCAGTGAGCTGACAGTAGCCCTGCCTTGGCTCACTTCTTTCCCATAATAAACACACTCTCAAAAAAAAAAAAAAGGAAGAAAGAAAAGCAGACCAGCCTCATGTGTCCATCAGTTTGAAGTACTGATATTTTTTGATTCAGTGATTTTCATTTTGGAGATATATCTTAATAACAAAATATACATAGGATGATGATTCTTAGTATAATATCCAACCAAAAGTTTCTCTATTTTGTAAAATTTCTGTGGCTCAGTGGTTGAGTACTGACCTATGCACCAGGTTGTGGACTCATTTCCCAGTTCAGGGCATGTAAGATGCAGCCAATTAATGTTTCTCATCCATGTTTCTCCCTCAAATCAATATAAAAACCTATTTTAAAAAACTTAACTATTTTCCAATTACAGGGTAAAAGGTTATTATAGCCAGTTTTAGTAAATACTTTTAAAAAATTTAAAGTAACTATTTTCCAATTATAGGGTAAAATGTTGTTATAGTCAGTTTTAGTAGGTAACTTTTTTTTTTTTAAATCCTCACCAGAGGATATTTTTCCCCCATTGATTTTTAGAGAAAGTAGGAAAGAGGGAGGTGAAGGGGGAGAGAGAGAGAGAGAGAGAGAACTATTGATGTGAGAGATTCACATCAATTGGTTGTCTCGGGCTGGGGATTGTACCTGCAACCCTTTGGTCCTCAGGCCTGAGTCTAAGTGGCCAGGACTAGAGGATACTATTTTGTATATACTAAATGTCTGCACAGCCTATTTATAATAAACTTGTTCACCCTGCCATAAGTTCACCAATAGACCCTTTATCTCTTGAATAGAAGAGCTCGAAATGCAACTGTGAATTAGCTGTCTGGCCAGCCAGCCAGTGGATGAATAAACAGAAAGACCTGCAGATCCTATGAAGGAAACCTATGTGCAGACACAGAGGGAGAGAAAGTTGTGATGGCACTCTTAATTCCTGGTTCTAATTTCTTCCTGAAACTCAGCTGCTTTCTGCCTACAGTTCCTTTAATACACCTCTTTACATTCTGTATTTTATCCCAAGTTGGTACTTTTAACATAAGAGTTCCAATGTACTACTCTCTGAAATACTCTGCCATTAAAAAAAAAAGAATATGTAGCAACATGAAAAATGTTTACTATATCGAATAAATAAAAATCGTGATACACATCGATTCACCTCTATCCCTACCAACTATATAAAAGTATGTATACATTAGGGAAAAACTGCAGAATATGGCAGTGAAAACAGTTATTTTTCAGTGGTGGTATTCTAAAAGTATATTTTCTAAAATTTCTATACTATCATTATTCATATTAGTATAAAATGTATTAACGTCATTTCTCATGTGCTCTGTTGATGAGTATAGCAATCACTGAAGTATTATATACT